TTATTTTTATGTCGATGGGAATAGAAAAATTGGGAAAAATGATATTTTATTTACTTATTAACTGGCACATATTAAACTTGAATAAATCATAAGTAGGTGATTAAATTATCAGATTTTTAATAATTCTTCCAAATAACTTTAATGATAATATATTGTGTACAAAATCTTAGGTGTTCACATACATTTTTTTTTAAATTAATAGTTTTAGCCCTACTCTTCTGTACGGCTATACCTACATTGTATTAATAAATGTTAACAGATTTGTTTATAATTGTCTACGTAAATGTATATTGTGTAATCATTAATATTTATACTGTTGATCTAATTATAAGTGTAGTGTGAAGAATTATGTACACGAATAGTGTTTGATGGAATAAAATTTAAATTTTTATTTAACAATCCAAATACATAAATTATAAATGTTATAAATGGATATTGCATTTCAATAAATAGAAAAAAATTAAAGTGAAATATTGATAATTTGAAAAAAATGTGCTTACTTTTTTTTTATTAAAAATATTATGGTTTTTCAATAACTTAGTTTAAAGATCAAATTTATTTAAAGTGATCGAAATTTTAGGGTATAGGATATAATAAATCAGAATTTTCTTCCTTGTTTTAATTAATGGGTTAGTCAAACAGAACTTTGTTAATCAAACTGAATAGAAATAATGTACATAAAATATTTTTATATGATTATTGAGAACAGTTTTTGACAGAATACAACCCATTTTTTAATATTTGTTAAAAATAAATGCATACTTATATTATATTTTAAATCATTTATGAATAATTATTTTGAAGGCAATTATCAAGATTTGGGATTTGTACCTATTAAGTTATTTTAAATTTTTTACATTTTAAGTCAACACTGTTTAAATGGATATACTTTTACCCTATTCAGTACAGCTATATAAAGCTCACTGGTTTTATAGATCACTTTACTAAAAGGTCTCTCCTAGTTCGTCACTACATTCTTCTTTTTTTAAATCCCCACCAGTAATAACCCCATGGTGGGGCGTATTTGTGGTGGGAGAAGAGAACACAGTACAGATTTGGAATTACACATATAGAAAAACAACAGTCCAGGATCAGCTGCTATCACTGTCAGTGGTGCCTTTCAGATTTGGTTTATTTTATTTGGAGGTAATTATAAATATATGTATATTATTTTATTTAGAATTAATTATGCATTATTTAAACGCATAAATAAGAATATTGATACACATATTCACACGAAATAATATTTTATTGATTATTATTATAAATTTTCAAGTATTACCTTTATACAATTTGAGTGAATAAATTTTAAACATAGGGATTTCATTATATTTATACAGTATTATAAGTTATAATTTAATTTAGTTTTTTAGTAAAATGTATTGTAAAAATATGTGTTTTTCTGAAAAATTTAAATATTTCATACTATAATTTTTTAGTTTTATTTTAATAATTATACAAATTTAAATATTAAAATATATTTTAAAATTATCTCAAATATTTTAGTATGATATCTATAATTTATAATTTAGATTAAAATGAAATAGGTATTTAACTTTTAACCGTACTAAAGTTCTATTTATTTATAACAAAACTATTTAATTCAAACGCAATTAATAGTTAAATATTATTTTATTTTTGACTTAATAATTTTAATTTTATGCAATTTGAAAAATTATTTTATCAAACATTTCCAGCTTTCTGGTTGCCCAAATATGCGAATATAGGTAGTTTAATTTTGTCACAAAGCGTGGGCTTGTGCAGAACTACTACAGTATGTTCTTGAAATATTCTATATTTAAGATTTGGCGTTGAAATTTTAACATTTATAACTATTGTAACACGATACGACGCTAATAACTTCAATAACATTAAATTATTCTGATTATTAACTTAAATAATGTTTATAAATTTGAACGATAAGTTTAATAGTATTACAAAACTAAGTAGTTTCAAAAATAAATTGGAAACCGTAAGATATATTTGAATAATCTTATCTTTGATTTTTCTTAGTTAGGTTTAACTTTTAATTTTTAATTTGTCTTTATAATTACGTTGTAAATTAATTGTTGACATTAATAATGGTTGCGTTAAATCCATGATGATTGATTCATGAGATTTGTGTTTTAATTATCTTGTTATTAAAATTAAAACAAATTTAGCAACTAAAATTTAACAACTAGTGGGGGCGGTGAGGTGTTTGGTCGGAATTTGGGTCGGTTGAGTGCATACCGCAACGGCGGCGTACAACTATTTTTAAACGTCCGCTGCGTGGTGCCGCGCGGTGGTATCGGTTTACTCACTGTAAATGGCGGGTACCAGACTACTTTATTTTTTATTTTATACTTCGGCATTAGCAACTTTGCTATTTTCGTCCAATTCCACGGAAGCCTATTTTTCTTTGAAAATAGATAATAGCAGAAAATAAGAAAGATAAGTGCGACCATTATCTTTCCAAATTACCCCTAGGATATTCTTTTACAATTATCATGAATTAGACATTTTCTTTTTTTTTCAAGATCATAAATTATTACAATATACATTGGTTTATATAACCTACATAGTTGGTTGAATTATGCTGTTTTATATAAATTTTATATTATTTTTTTAAGATCTACAAATACGAATTATAACTCTGGATAAAATACGTTATAATTTATCAATACCTATTTAAATATTATTATCTAATTTTAAATCAAATATAATTTATTTCAAAATAATAAGGACATATTATTCTTAGTATCTAATATACAATAAAACTACACTAAATTGGTTTGTAGTTTTAAAATGAATGTATTATTATTTTAAAAACTAACAAAAAATAATAAATACTAGCTAAAATGATTAATGAACTAAATTTTTTTGTATAAATTATAATTTTTAGTTGTTATTTATTGTCTTATAATCAAATTTTATATTAGGTATATTTATTATTTGAGAACATAATGTAGTAGGTAATAAATAATAGCTTGTTAGATGTAAATTTTGTAATCTATAGGTACCTCCTACCTATGTCTTTCAATTAAAATATTTTATAGCGATTATTATTAAGCAATATGATGAAAAGAGTTGTAAAATTTTGCGTTACTCTGACCATTATGCATTAGAGATGTAAGTGTAAAATAAATTAAGAGTATCCTTTTTTTAAATTAATTCTTTTGAACTACAGTTATATTTTTCTTTACAATAATTGTTAACTTTTTCTCAATATATAAATTATTTTAGACAAATCAGTATGCTTTAAAAATATTTTATTATATTTAAATTTCGGACTTATGGTCCATGGGTTTCTTATAGTTGATTAGGATATTATAGTTTTTTTTTTCATATTGATAGTATTAAGCTAATATGATATGTTTTATTCTTAATTGTATTCCGCGTTAGTAGATTATTAGGTAGTTATTATTCTGTTAATATTATTTGAATATAGATCAAAAACTTTAATCATAGGTAGATTTTATAGATTTTTGAAGTATTTAAAAATATATTTGATATTTTATTTATATATTTGTTTTTATCCAATTTTTAACTAAATGTTAAAAAATACTAATTATAACTACCTATATATTAATGTATAATGTATAATTTCCACAAAAGCGTTTCAAAAAAAAATAAAAAATATTTATTTCATGTTTGATTAAATTATAAGTGTATTATAAATGGAGTCGAAAATAAATATTATTTTTAACTTAACTCTAAAAATAAAAAACGATTATCCTTCAAAAATAACTCGACCTATTAAGCGTTTAACGAAGTAACGGGTTATGTATAAATACATGCTTAGGTATCTAGTACCTATAATATGTAAAAACTAATTTAATTTGTTTATAATAATTATTTAGTGAGTTTAGTTTTATATATACATAAAATGTGTATTGTACCTACATATACGTAATATTAAATGCAAATACATTTTTTTATTTTACTTCAATTTTATTATACACAGAGTGATTAATTGCAAGGATGTCATTTTATATTTTTTTCTATAACATAATTATTTAAAATCTGATGTTTGGGATTTTTCTTTTTATGTATTTTAAGAATATATTTTCAATGATTAGAGATTGTTCGTAGTACTCAAGGAGTATCTAATGTTTAAATTTCTGTTTTTCAAATGACAACTCACATTTTAAAGAATAAATTATTAAGTAGATAATTTTTTTGAAAATGTTAACAATCAAAATCAAAATTTGAACGAGTACCTAGTTTTTGAGTAATTTAAAATTGTGTGCTGAGAATAATAGATCCATGATATGATAGGTTTAAAAGATATTAAAGCTTTAATAATTTGAAAGTTATAGTAATTTATATTATTTTATCAATATTTATAATAAATAAAAATGGTTCATGTATAATACATTATATTAATATCCAATAATTACATTTATTTTTACTTTTGTAAAGTTATTTTTAAAAGCTTTTATTTTTAATATAGCATTATAATAATTAAAAAACAGTTTATTTGAATTTTGAATAAGATATATAACAATTTTTACTGTAAATTATCCATTAAATAATTTATAGAAAAAAATGGGGTAGGGGGTCTCATATGAAAATCAGAAGTTTGTTTTGCTATAGAATACTTTTTAGTAGTACAAAAAATTTAAATTATTTAAAATTATGGTATTTTAGTATAATTAAAAATTTTAATAATTAGAATTCAAATAAAATTATCATCAAATGAAAAATGGGAATGAGGATATTTGATGAATCATCCTCTATATGAATTATACAGATAAAACAAAATTTATTTATGAAAATTTTTTTTAAACAATTAAATTTACTAGGTATTGTAATTATTAATTATTCTTATAAAATGATTATTGTTTTAATTCATTTTTCTCAATTTCGTCTCTTAAATTGAAATTAATTTGTGTACTTTAAAAAAAAAAAAATTGTTAAAATTACAGTATTTATTGTCTGTGTTATATTATATAGTATTTCAAATTTTAGTAAATTATTATGATTTTGAATTAGCGGAGTAGACAAAAAACTTCAAAATGGACGCCATCAAGAAGAAGATGCAGGCGATGAAGATGGAAAAGGATAGCGCCATGGATAAGGCTGACACTTGTGAAGGCCAGTCTAAGGATGCTAACCTTCGTGCGGATAAAGTAATTACTATAAATATTTAAGTAATCAATGTTAACTTGTATTAAACATTGTTTTTGATTATATAGGTGAATGAAGATGTGAGAGATTGTCAAAAGAAATTGACTCAGGTAGAAAGTGATTTGGACACTAACAAGAATAAGTTGGAGGAGGCTATCAAGCAGTTAGAGGATAGAGAAAAGGCACTTACTGCGGTAAGTTCACAATAAGTATTGTTATAAAAGATTTTTTAACATAAATTTATTTAAAGGCTGAAAGTGAAGTGGCCGCTTTGAACAGAAAAGTTCAGATGATTGAAGAAGACCTTGAAAGATCCGAAGAAAGGTCTCAAGCTGCTGCATCAAAATTGGCTGAGGCTTCTCAAGCAGCTGACGAATCTCAACGGTAAGCGGGTTACATTAATTTATTGTTATGTTGTGTACATAATTTTTTTACATTAATCTTTAAAAAATCATGTTTTTAGTATGTGCAAAGTACTCGAAAACCGTAGCCAGCAAGACGAGGAACGTATGGACCAATTGACTAACCAATTAAAAGAAGCTCGTCTTTTAGCTGAAGATGCTGATGGAAAATCAGATGAAGTAATAACAAATAATAACATAATAAATTACGAAACAACATTTTAATAAATATTAAATTGTAGGTTTCAAGGAAACTTGCTTTTGTTGAAGATGAACTTGAAGTAGCAGAAGATCGTGTGAAATCTGGTGACTCGTGAGTAAAATATTTAATGCATACTATTATAATAACGATATTATTGAAATTTTAATTTATAGAAAAATCATGGAGTTGGAGGAAGAATTGAAAGTTGTCGGAAACAGTTTGAAATCGTTGGAAGTTTCCGAAGAAAAGGTAATTAGAGTGAAAATATTAAGATCGTGAAAGATAATAACTTTATTTTTAGGCCAATCAACGAGTGGAAGAGTACAAGCATCAAATCAAACAACTCACCGTAAAATTAAAGGAGGTAAACTTTTATGTTAATAAAAATATTTTGATAAAAATAAATTAAATTTAAATATAAATTTAAAAAAAAAATAAAAAAATAATTAATAATTAATAAATTTTTTTTAATTTATTAAATTTCATAAATATAATTCTTAAACAACATAATATTGATTTTCTATTTTAGGCTGAAGCTCGTGCTGAATTTGCCGAGAAGACCGTTAAGAAATTGCAGAAGGAAGTTGACAGACTTGAAGGTAAGTCTTGGGATTTAATTTTCATAAACAATACATTTATGAAAAATGTTGTATTCATATTGTATTGTTATTATACTTATTAGTTATTAGTCTAGCTCAATGAATTATGTGTAGCTGTATATTTATGCTTTGTTAGTGTTATTTTTTTTTTTTTAATAGCTTGACATTTAGACGACGGGGCTTTGTTTATCAATGGGTTATTTACGCATTTGTTTTGTACAATAATGTGTTGTTTTTCAGATGATCTCTTCAAAGAGAAAGAAAAATCCAAAGAAATCACGGATGACTTGGATTCGACATTTGCTGAACTCACTGGCTACTAACCAAATACAATTTCTGCATAGCCTTCATTTGTTTTATTCTTGTATTTTATGTTCGAGTTTTGTCATAAACCAACGTAGCTTTTTGTAAAAATAATGCTTTTTTATTTTATTTTTTCATTTATTTTGCTTTTTTGTCGTTGTAATATGTTTTGTCTCCAGTTGTTGCTGTACAAATTCGCTTCTATAACTGCCAGGTACAATAATAGTTCAATATATATATAAAAAAAAAAAAAAACATTGATGCATGCTATGAGTTGAACTCAAGTTCAAATATTTGTTGTTTGTTCTTTCTCAAATATTTTTTCCCCGAAAAAATGTTCATAATTTAAATTATACAAAATATGATCATGATTATTAGTTTTTTAAATATTAATTTTTTCATTCTTCAATGTTTTTTTTTAAATAAATATATTCATATTTTAAAAAAACCTGATTAATCTTGTTTTTACTATATTTTTGATAGTTAAGTAATAAAAGAATATTTTCTATACATTTTTGAAATTGCACTTTATTTTTATGGTTGAACTCAATTTTTAATTTGTTTCTGTGTTTATTTAAAATAATTCTTTACCTTTGTATAACGAAAATCTTTTTATTTTTCAGATGAACTCGGCCTCAACAAAGACAGATATAAGTCTTTGGCCGACGAGATGGACTCCACATTTGCTGAATTGGCTGGATATTAACCTTCTGAACTTGGCAAAATTTTTGAAGGAATTTACATTTAAAGTAAATTGGGTATAATTACCCAATGATTTTATCAAATAATATTTACCATCATCAATTCTATTAATAAATCAAAAGAATATTACATTAAATTATTACTGTTAGATTATTTATTGTTTGAATCAGTGTATACATAGGTATATATCATATATATAAATGTATTACGTGTGAAAATATTAACCAATTAACAATTTGAACTTTAAAATTTTATCTGTATTTTCTAGCTTTATTATTATATTATTAATGTACAATAATTATCTAGTCTTATGTTCTAAGTCATATAGCTTTTATGACATATTATAATATTTATATCACATATGTACACATTATGTCTTAAATTTTTCATTGGATTAATTTATAAACAATATATACATACTTATAAATATACAGAGATGTTCTTTATATACATATACATACTTTGAAACGGGAAATATTTTTTCATTGGTCTTTAATAAATTAAATTATTGCGTGTATATAATATATATAAATTGAACATCTGCATGTATATAAACATAATATGTACAAAATATTATTATTTAGAATAATTTATTATTTAACTTATTATTAAGTAAAATTTATTCGTTATAGGCTTACATAAAAAGTATTAGGATTATATTTAATAATTATAAACGTTAATTGCTAAGAAATATAAATCATAATATTATTTTACAAGGTAGGTGATTTTGATGATTAATATCTTTATTTCGATGACAAATAATAAACTCCTTAACTTACTTTAGTAAATAATTGGAAAACTGATAACGCATGTTTTTTGATGATCAGTTTGTTAGTATCTAACTCTGTCATGTACTTAATAATATTATTAATTTTATGATCATTATTCATGTAAATAAAAAATGAATACGAGTCAAGCTAGTCATATAGAAACAAATGTTGGATTCAACAAGTTAGTAAATAAATTCATATTTAGACGTTTGAATTCAATATGCGTTTATTAATATATTTAAAATATTGTATTGTTGATTTTTTTTTTTTTTTTGATAGAAATTTAGTTTCTTTAATTAATAAATTTGAGTGAATAAACGTGTGTTTTTGATTGTTAGATAAGAGTGGTTTTTGTTGTACAATTATTGGCTCACTTTAGCTGCTAGTAAACTTGAGCTTGTAACTTAAATATTTAGTCTAAATTGTGATTGTTTATTATTATTTTTTTTAAAATTTAATTTTCCAAATTACTAATGACAGTTGCTTTAAACTTTGCATATTATATTTAAATCGTTTTAGTATAAAAATAATACAAATAATTTTACGAATCATGAATAAAATATGTTCATTAAGCTATAGGTTATACAGTGGTAATTTTACTCATTTAGAAGGAATATATGGATGCTATACATACGGTTATTATACCTAATATATACTTCCGATACACTGTGCACAATTTATAGTTATAATAGAAGTTGCACACATCCATAAAGTTTTGAGACTGAGGTGGTTTTAATTTTAATTAATTTGTGTGTAGCTTTTATTTATAACAGAAAGGTTGTTCCTCAGGCATTATCATTTATGTAACTGGCTGTTAACAATATATGATATATAAAGAACACAACAATTTATACATAATACTAATAGAAATAAAAGTCATTAAAACGGTTATCGACGTACAATAATGTAATAACATTGATGTACATACCTATTTACATTTTCTGCATAAATATATTATAGTTACGTTTACCTTTCCTGTAATTTTATGCAGTAGATAACAGATGATTACATACAGCGTTTATTTGGCCTACCTTCGTAAACAATGTTTTTTTGTCAATCTTGCGAGTTGCAGATATACTAAGATAGGGTTGCAAATAATGTGAAAAGTACTACAGTGAACATGGTACACTTTTATGTACCAATTTACAAAAAAAAAAAAAGATGCAAGTATAAACAATAAAAATATGCTGCAGTCCTCAATTATGTAAGAATATTAAATTTATAGGTACAAAATATATCATTATGCTTTGCATGATGACATCACGCATGATCGTATTTTTCATAGCGTATTTTTTTTTTTTTTTGACCAAATGAATTTGTTCAACATTTGGATATGTTGATTACATTAATCGAGTTAGGTGTCCTCGCCTAACTATGTTGAAGAAGTGTCACCACTGGGTGACTTCTTCAGTCAAGTAATATTTCATTGTCATATTATATCTTTGCATCTAAGGTATTATAAATGATTCAAAGTATATCTTAAATAATTACAGAAGTGAATTGATATTGAATATTTTTACTATTGAATTACATCTTAACAAATATTGCGATGAATTAGACTAAAATACATTTATTTATATTTTAATTATCAAAAATATTATTTGATATTACTGATTTTTAGGTTATATTATCTAGGCTATGCATCGAGCTAAAAATATCAAAGTTAATATGAGTTTCAAGGTAATTATAAATCTGAATAAATAAATTATAATAGAACAATAATAAGGCGAGTTTATATGCTGAGCTTTCTTTCCACTGACCGACATGTATGAATCTGATTTGTGAAGTTATAATAATATGAACGTGTAAATAAATATTTGAACAAAAAATTGATTTATACAAATGATTTGTGTAAATTCTGTAGCTACCTGAAAAAAAAAAACTGTAATTGGTTCAGTTTAAAATGAATACGTATTTGAACGTGTAAACTGTAAACTTAATGCTAGCGCAAGTATTCAAAAGCAAGTAAAGGTATTAAATACAGCACTGATAAAAGTAAACGTGTAAGCCCATCTTTATAATATTATAATGCTATTATTTACAAATGTAAAGCTTTAAAGCGCTCTAATATCATATTCCTAGCAATGTTTTCAAGTCGTTTGTTGTTTGTTTACATGACAAGTTTATATGTATATTTTTTGTACAAATTTGTCGTTTCATTATACCTGTGTATATTATTCATTGTGCCGATGCGCATAGACTTTTGATAAAAAGATTATAAATTTGTTGCATGTACTTATTGACTTGAAACGACGTATTATACATCTTGCAAGGGCTTATAGTGTTATACAATTAATTTTTCCGTTGACAGAAAAGGGATAATTTCAATTATTTTTCTGTTATATGTGTATCATTTATGTAGTTTCAGAATTGTAATTTTAGGAGTTGAGAGAAATAAGTAATGCGGAAAGCCTTTATCTTATAATTGAATATAAATGCATAAATCACAGGTATTAGTATTAAGGGTGACCGGTCAAAATATCTTCGAAATAATATCTTTGGTCAAAATATCTTTTGTGAAAATATCTTATGACAAAAATATCTTTGAACAAAATATCTTTTTTAGTGATTTTTATTAGCTTATTAGCCATCACATATATTTATATCTACGATCGACATTTTATATTCTATAATAATATTATACAACATTTTTAAATAGTTGCTATTTTACTAGTCTACTAATAATTAGGTAGTAGGGCAATATCTGTACGTAATCTTTACGGCGGTTATAATTCCGTAAAGATATGTGATTGTGAGGGCCGTTGACCTACTAATCCGTTTTTTACAAGAGGTATTTATATTTTATCTTATTTAATTAATTTATTTAATTAATACAAATAGAATAATTACGTGATATCAGGTTCGATTGGAAAAACGATTATTGGGAGAATCAAGTCCACCACGCCGTAAAAAGTACAATGATCATGATATAAAAATAAAAAGAATTGTGAAAAATTGCTCAGAAATACCAACAGTTCAATATTTAAGAAGTTTATCTTACAGTATTCAGTATTAAGCACTAATTTTAATTTAATTAATTAAGTTTTTAATATTTATAATAATAATAATAACCTACAATACCTATATTTTTGGCTTTTGAAGAGATATTACTTTTTACCTATTTTTTTTACTTATAATATTGTGTGTAAAAATTTATTAAATTAATTATATAAATAAACATTTAAAAAAAAAAATCAGTTTAAAGATATAGTGATCAAAGATATTTTTGTCATAAGATATTTTCACAAAAGATATTTTGACCAAGATATTTTGACCAAAGATATTATTTCGAAGATATTATGACATGGAACCGTATTAAGTAGGTATAAAAAGCAAACGCGTATTGATTAGTGATAATTTATTTTTTATTTTAAGATGTTTTAACTTTTAACTTCTAAATTGTTGATCGATACGCGTGTAACTATATATAAGGACATTTCGTTGTTGGTTTGGAACGTTGACATTGTGATATTGTATTGTTACTTTCACAGATAGGTTTACTATCTGGGCATTGTTTTGTGTAGATTTTTTCTGGTCTGCAGCGTACCGATGAAAGTTTGATAAATGCGTCTGCGAATCTTGGTGGTTTGCGAATGATATCTCCAGAACAATTAGTTGTGTCATTGACGTTATTCTTGATTTTATTTAATATATTTATTGAAAAGTTTGTAGATTGATGTGTACCACCAATGTTCATTAAATTAAATTTTTTTACATATTTTTTTAAAATTAGTCTTAGCATTATAATAAAATATTATAATGTTATTATATTGTAATATTAAAGTAAAAATATAAAATTATCTAATATTGTATTCTTGACTTAATGATTTATAATATATATAATATCAAAAATGTATAGCAGTATAACTTGGGCGTTGATAAATGGTAAATACTATTTTTATTTAAAAACACGAAAATAATTGAATTTATTTATATTTTTAACAATAACATGTTTATTGTATAAACATATGTAAGGATATTAATCTTAACTACTGATGGTTTTCAGCCAATAACATTTTATAAAATTAATTATATTTAATTTCATTGAAAAAATGGTATGAGTGAGCATAACGATCTTATATTAAGTAAAATCAGTTACTGGCTGGCAGATTTTTATAACTACAAAAAAAAAAAAAACTATTGAAATAATTTAATATTAAGTTTAATATTTAGTATATTATAATCAATGATAATACAGTTTTAGTGGGGAAAAATATCATTAGAAAACTAATATATTTCTTGCTTCATTCAGAATTTAGAATATTTACTCCATTTTAATTATTATTTATAATATACATGTCAACGAATTTCAACAATATAATATACAATTTTGGACTGTTATTTGATAATACAACGCAAGTTATATTTTAAATTTAACTATATGTACTCGTATCTATGTGTTTTTATTTTACGTTCTTTGTTTTAATTAAATTATCTAAGTTAATTATTAAAACATTGCTGTAAATGTAAAATAATTTATAATTATTTTCCTGTTATTCCTTTCTCCATATGCACACATGGTTTAGTTTAGTTATTGTCATACATTATATATAAAATATAATACATAAATAATATGAAAAGAATTATTATTATTTTACGTTTATTACAGTATTGAAATATATAGGTTTATAAGTAGATATAGACCATATGTACGGACCATAGGTATCTAATATATATCAGTGGGGTGGCTCCCGCATAAGTGCGATCGTACCCCCTACGAAGAGTTTTTTTTTATTGTGTTTTCCTTTCTCATTATAACGACTTTCAGTTTGAGAATAAAATGGAAAAATATTATATTAAATTAAATTTATTGCTTGTTAATTGAATTGTCTATGGTGTAATATGAAATCTGCGAAGAAAAATAAGTTATTATTTTCACCTCGTTGAGCGCATTGGCTAACGTAGGTAAAGTTTAGTGCGTTCCACGTGTGTAAATATAATATTATATGATTCTATAAAATATTATAATATTAAAACGACGATAGCATTGTGGGATCGAAAATGGTTTAACGCGTGCGAATGAGTAATGCGACAACTGGCCGACTAGTAATGGGCTAGGTATATGGGTAAGCGTTAGACGCACGTGGACATGCGTTTACAACTTTCCGGCGTTAGTTTATCGTCGAACGCGCGTTGAAATGTGAACAGTTTATGAACATTCTGTGTACCTTATTGAATGCGAGTCTTAACGCTTGCCACATTTGAGTATTTGAGAATTGAAAGACTGAAAGAGTATAATTTTATGTACTGTGTGAGTATAATAGGTATTGTTACGAACTCTAGGCTTTTTTTTTGTTACATATTTGTATTTGAGTATCTAATAGATGATATTGAGTATATTGGAAATTATACCCTTGTTTATGGGATATTGCATTTTAGAAACCAAGGGTCTTATCAATTCTAAAAATTGTTTTATCAGATTTGTGTTACTATATGTATTACCCTCTAAGTAAAATAAAAGTTATTAATCTTATTGATGTAAAGTAATATATTAGTAAGAGCATTTACATTTAATAAATTTGCAATACGATTTATCAGACTGATTGAATGTAAAGATCAAATTGACACAAGTAGGATCCTGTTAACATTACAATCATTAATACATAAAAAATAACAATAAATTTAATTCAAATTCGTAAGAGGTCTGTTGTTAATCAAGATAATGCATCAAGACAGTTAACGGGAAACAACTTGTTAACAGCAGTGATTTTACTTTGAATTTAAAAAATAGAACCTTTGAAAACTAACTTTTATCTAAAAATAAATTATAGTCTTAAGTTTTTTGAGTTTAAATCAAATTACTGTAAAATAAACTTTAAAGTTCATTAAACAACATTTTGTTATTTTTTTAGTATATTATTAAAAGTTTTTATCATACTTTCATGTTTTAGAAAAATGTTATGAATTATTAACTAAAAGTTAATTGGAAATTGTTCATGTTATTAATGTATTCTTATCAAGCATTTTAGATTCAAATTAAGTTAAAAATGTGTTAATGAAGTATTGTTGGTGATTTAAAACTTGAAAAAAGCTCTGACAATAACACATTCTATTACCGTTTTGTGCAATACACTTAGTACGATAAATCCAATCCTGTTGTAATGGCCAGTTGACTGTCAGTGGTATACATAAAATATACAATATTTCAGTATGGATTTCTACATTTTCTATTGCTTTAAAAAAAAAATCGATAAATACTTCGCGTGTCATTTATGTAAAACCATCTAAGTATAAATTTTTCCTGCTTCGTGCACATTACGTGTTTAAAACTTAAAATCACAATATTTTATATTACAATAATTATCTGGAATTTTTTTTTTCTGCAGCTATGCATCTTCGCACGCAATAGACTGTGTTTATAGTAACGAACCTTGGCGCGACGTAATTTTTGATTCTTACGATTGGAAAACTCAAAACTCTTCTACACGACGATATTGATAGGAATATTAAATAAATAAATCACCGTTATCGATATGCTTATCTATACAGCATAATGTTTATATTTTTTAATCGCTATCTAGTGATGGATAATTGTAATGCTTTATTGTCAATAACAGCGAATATCTACTACGCTGCTACCTAGTTATACGTGGTACCTTTTCTACTCAATAATCAATATAATTATACATTTTACTGTATAAAAATTTAAGTACGCTTGGAAAATGTCAATGCCGTTTTCTTTTGAAATATAATATCTATTGAAATTTTTTGTTTGTGTATAGGAAGGAGTCTTGAATAGTGTACGTATATCTATTATATTAACTCTTTTTTTAACTAAATGACTTAATATTATTTTTAAACAAAAATATAAAAATATATTACTTTATACATTTCGAGGTTTAATCACGTTATTAAATCTTTTACAATCATGCATTCCGTAAAGCGTATTATAATTTAAAAGATTTTTTTATAAAAACGATTTGCATATAAAACGTGTCTTGCGTGTGGAAGATATCACCCGTATGGCTGTATAAAGCCTTAAGCCACACGGTATTTTACTCTAATATAGTATGAATTTCTATGAGTTATACATTTATAATAACTGGACGAGAAATGCATTTTTATTAAAATTGATATTAATAAATTATTGATACCTTCCCATATAGTTTGAATATAATATATATATATTTAAACATTTATTTGATATATGCAATATGTAATAGTAGTTTCAATAAGCATATGGGCGGAAAGTACATGTTGACTGTGAAATCGCGAAGAGAGTAGCTACCCAGCAGTAACACTCGACAATAAGTTTGAATATTGATCGAGAAAAGAGAAATTATCGAAGAACCATTCCCATCGGTATGGTTGGATTTTTGAATTTACATATTGTACAGGCACAGGGTAATATTGTCCACGCCGGCGATATCGTCATACGTATTAAACGCCGTGTACGGCATAAATCTTTCGTACTGGTCTTTAGGCGTCTCTCTCTCTCTATGTATGTTTTAAATATACGTAGTATACCGCCCCGTTACTAGCGATAATGCCAGTGGCAAATTTTTATTTCGATATTTACGATTTTACATCATATCACAATACACGGTCGGACGATTTTCCACGCGCGGTTGTGTAATTTAACAAAACTGCCCACGTCCAAGCTCCTTGAGATTAACAAGTGTGTGTTTTTCCGGTTACGTCGGTTGTGCGCTTGCCCGTGCGAAGGCGACGGGTGGCATCGGCGGCGTCCACGGGTGGCGCGGTATGCAGCGGGAAACGTGTACCATTCATTTTATCGAGCGCGCCCCCGCCTCGCCTCGCCCCAGCCACGGCAGAGCGTCGTTCCCGCGCGACCACCCGAATACCCTCCACGCCCGACGACCAGCCCGTCCGCCCGACGTCCTTTGCCACTCGGTACACGACAGTCGTCCGGTGGTTCTTGGGCAAGTTGTGCCGCGCGCATCCGTCCGGTCTGTACGCTATGCCTGCCACGGGATTCGCGAGTCAAGACCCTGTGGCCGAGAAAACCGAACACGGCGATGTATTCGCAAGTGAGTAGCGCGGCGGTTAATCGACGGAAAAATAATAGGAAGGACATATTGTTATCATTACGACGCTGTAGGTAAAATTATGCTGTCGCGACGACGTGATTCGATTCTATTATGACATGGTCGTCGATATCTCCGAAAGAAAAAAAAACGTCGCGTAAACAAGCATAAAAATGTTGATATTTTTTCCGGCAAAAATTCCTGATTGGTTTTTAGCCACGTCTGTTATTAAAAATATCAAGCGTTTCGTTTTTATCAATATTTTTTATAGACGTAATTATTATTATTATTATTATTATTGTTATTATGTTTATCCGGATTTAGTATTACTTAACGACAGATGCCCGAGTGTATACTCTTCATAAACGTAAAACTTATTACATGTTGTATACAAATTGCCATGGAAATTATATCATGCGTATTTGCATGGAAAATTGGCACACTGTTTGAAATATAATTACATTTATGAATGATTTGTTTTATTGGAGCAGGGCGGGTATCCTTATTTCAGTATTAATTAAATTTAAATATAGCTGGTATATCAATAAATTACTAATAAAAAAAATATAAATTAGGTATTCATGTAGAAAATTACATTTTCGTAAAATTAATGATTGAATTAATGTAGATTTATTTCAGTTTTCGATTGAAAACTGTTCAAATGTTTTTTTTTTATTAAGAAAAAAAATTTACCAAATAATTATCATTATTGTTAAAAAATAACTTTCCATAATGTATTAGGTAACTATAAACACACTTAGTGTTTTTATTGTCTATACGAATTAAAATTGAATTTGTGATGTATCTTACAAGGTGTGACCTGTAAGTAATGAGACTGATTTTTTAGTCGCGCTTATGGTAATATGGTGAATCTGAAACTTTGGATTCAGACATATAGTGAGATTTTACCGAGTATATCGATTTGAAAAGTTAAATACGACTTGTGAACATTTTATGGGAGTATACATTATGCGATAATAATATATGTACGCATTTAACGATTAAACGAACTATTAAATATTATAAAATATTAATCTAATTGTAATAATTGCATAGGTTTAGGTTATATATATACTAACCATATCAGCAGATAACTAAATATTGCATAAATAATAATTAAAAAACAAGAAGGGTTGGATTAATTTGTTTCCATCGACTTTATATTTTCTGTTATTATAAAAGATTAAGTGTTAACACGAAATGGCATTAATATGACGAGTTTAGTCCCCCTAGTTAATCAAACAATATTAGTTCAAATAAAAATTGTTTTTAAATTAAATATTTTAGTTAAAAAAATAATAACTGTTTTAATTTTTTTATTGCATATATTTTTAGTTAAAATTTAGATCAAATTACATATTTTAATTACGAATAACGATATTCATTATATTTTTTATCATTTAAAAACATTACTTATGGTGATATTAAACTTTTGCATATATTATTATATTTTATTCACCCAATATTTTAAAATGCAAAGTTTTAGGAAAAAATAAATTCAACCTACCATTAGCAATTGTAAAATAAATTACTTGACTTAATAGTAATATCAAAAAACATAATATGAAATATACTTAGTGTTATAGCCTATAGGTTAATAGCTTATCTCTATTCAGAATCTATTTTCGTATAAAATAGTACTTTTTGGAAGTTAATATTTAAAATGTCCAATACTTTTCAAAAATCAAGAAAAAAAAAAAAAAATTACAGTCATATGGAAAATTTTAAGTAATACAAATTTCGACAAAATTTACTTTCTTATTTGTTGTAATTTAAAGACGAATTATCGTATATACTTGAAGTTTTTACTAACTATTAATATTAGCATTATAATATATATAATTTTTTGAGCTATTAGATATTTAGAATTTGGAATTTTTATTTATTATTTTTTTTTTATAAATGTTAGTCAAAAATTTAAAAAGCTAGCTTCAAAATGTAATATAAAGTTCTTTATAATTAGTTCATATTAAAACCTAAAATTCTAAAAAATATAGTTTTTATGAATTATTTTTATAGAAACTTTAAGTTTAACCTTGAATGGAATTAGATATTTATATGAATATTGAATAATAATAAAAAATGTTCACAAGGATCTAATAAGTTTGTAATATCAACGGAAGTATTTTAAATAAAATCCATTAATCTGAATTTTACGTTTACATCCTGTAAAAATCATATCAGCAGAGTTTAATTTTTTATATAGTTTTTTAACCTATTTATTCAAGAATAATAATAATTTAGTTTTATAGTCTGGGTTTTATACGATATTTAAATTGTAAATAGGCTTAAAAGATATTTTATTTATTTATTCTGATTCTGGAAAACTTTTAAAAGATTGGATTTACCTGCGTTAAATTTGAAAATTTTTTTTATTTTAGGCAAACAATTTTTTTTAATATTACTTTACTGAAGTACAAATTATGTATGGTTTTTTTTATTAAGTTTTATATAATTTTTTACATAATAAATAATTGAAAATAGGTTAAGTTTTTCGTGTTTGTCTTTGATTAAAGTTTTGTTTTTTCCATTTTAATTTATTATTTCGTTGGTAATTAACTGTAAAATTATTCTAAATATTAGAAATTTTAAATTGAACAATATTAAACTCATCAAAATTATTTTGTAGAGAAGAATTTTTAAAGAGAGTAGATATAATAACAAAAGACAGATTTTTTCAGACTGATTTTTTGATAGATTTCTTGCGTCACGAAATTAAAACAAGATGATGTTGCTATAGTAGTGATACATTTTGTCTAACTGCATTTAATGAACCTAACTCGACCTAATTGCAAAAATGTGTATGGATTTTAGTATGAAGAAGTAATAATAATATTGATTATTTTTATTATTATTCATTATAATTTTCATTTATTATTTTATTAGTATTTAATTTGAAACATAATGATTATATTTGTTATTAGTTTGATTTCCAAAAAGAGTTAATTTTAACGAACAGTAGAAATTAAACTATACTTAGAATTTTATTTATATAATCCTATAATGTTTAATGTACAAGTTATTTGTAAAATTGAAAAAAAGGTAAAAATTATAAAATGTAGTAGTATACTTTTAGTATCTCTAAAGTACTACTTACCTACTTGTATTTTATAACATTATAAATTTATAATTTAAATTTAAAATTTTTATTTGGTAAACGCATAGCTTAATGTTGATTAGAATGTATTCATAACATATTTTATAAATCATCGTAAACGTTTATTTAATACATCATTATACCAGTGAGTATATTACATCATTTACTTTGAAAAACTACTAAATATATGTAGCTATTATATAATATTGTTAGAATTTAGGTATCAAGAAAGTATATTTTAGGAGCAAAATATTGTGAAAGCATACATTTATTAGATTACTATGATTATTTTCACAAACATGTTTGATCAATAAAAATGATTTTATTACAGATTATGGAACGACTGAAATTTTGTATACAGGTGGATGTGCAGTTATGATACTAGGAATTTTGATTTTCGCATGCCATATTTGTGCTAAGAAAAAACTGTTATGGTTTAAAAACAAAAGTAAACTACCAACTGCAGCTTCGGAACCACATTTGGCTTTTTATCATCGAAAACCAACCACAGCCGTGAAGGCTGTTAAAAATCCTGCTGGATCACATTATTTGAAAAAAAGTCCAAGTCCTACAGGCAGCAAAACACCTGTTGTAATAATATTTGTATAAAGTGTTCTTTATTGTCCATATACTGACTCTAATATTTGATTTTAAGGGTGATGGAAGTATAAGCCCCACTGGATCAGAAAAAACGTCTAGACATTCACCAACTATAAGTCCGACCTGTGAACAAAAAACTGTGCAGCCACCCATACATACGTTGTCGTAAGATGATATTTTTTTATTTAAATTTTAAATATTGTTTTAAAAAACTGGAGAATAGTTTATTTAATATATTGATTCGTTGTAATTAACACTGAATGCATCTGAAGTTTGATAGACAATGAATAATTTTTTTCGTTAAAATTTATAATAATTTAATAATATCCAATATTATACACATAAGTGGATTAAAAATTAATTGGAAAAATACTTTTTTAAATTGAACACGAAAACAAGAATAAAATCATAAAGGTATTATAGATAAATTAGCGATACACATAGTAGTTTGTATATTGAATTACGTAAATATAGATTTTGTCTAGAAAAATACACAAAAGATTGAACATATTTATTGACTTCAAAGATAGTTTATTATTAGTTTATAAGATTTTATATTGGTGGCAAATAATAATATTTTTGTAGCATATAACGTGTTCGATATTTTATAACTTATAAACAAAGTAAAAATACACGATCATGTAGTCTAGAAAATACAATTCTAACATTTTATTTTTGAATTTTGAGTTTTATCAGTTTTAATTGATTTAATAAAGTACTACTAAAAAATAAAAATAAGTTAATCGTATTTATTAATATTTAATCTCATAATTGATAAGTAGGTACTATATATTTTAATTGGTAAAAAAAATGGTATAATTTGTATAACATTTCGTTTGTTTTTCTTAAATTGTTTTATAATTATAATGATCATGTGTTTCTTATTTAATTATTTTCATATCCTCATCTCAACCCCCTTAAATTTGATGTAGCCACTGATATAATTCCTGAAAATCCCCCGTGACAACTAAAAAAGAATTGGTATAGAGATATTTTTAATGAATAAATAAAAAATAAATAAATTTAAAAAAAATATATGGCAGTGTTATTACTGGGGCGCCTTCCTTCTTCATGATTTTCATTTAAATAATTTTTTGACAAATATTCTTATTTTTCCTCAGGGTACAAATTGTATATTTCTTTATAAAAATTTATTTTTTTTCGTAAATAGTTCGTGTTTGAATGTATATTCATTTTTTAATATTTTTCACAGATTTACCTAATACGGTTATATATATGATAAATAAATTATGCAAACGAGATTGATCAAAGTATTGATACATTTTAAAAATTGAAAGGTTGTAATAATCTAGGGTAGTATTTTTTTCTATTTAATTTTTATTTACGTTTAGGCATTTGATTTTTATGATGCGACATCAATAAAGTTAATAGAAGTCCAAACAAATTTGGCGCAATATAATTTATTAATTTGAAAAACCAGCCCCGTATTAGCTATTTATTATTATATTATTTGTATTTTAAAATATTTTAACAATAAATGCTATTTTTATAGAGTTGTACATGAGAATGAAATAGATAATAAGTTATTATCGAAAAGTAATCAGCAACAAACTGAAATTGGCCCAAATGATACACCTGGTAAAATGGGAGTACTTTTTTTCAAACTTCGGTAAGTTTATTATTAATAAATATTAATTATTTTAGATGAAATTTACTGCATAATCCGTCTCATATAAACTGATTTCACTTTTATGTTAATTTATTACCTATATTATTTATTGAAGTAAGATATAATGCATAATAAAATCAAATTTAATTAATTGCTTATATAATTATATCATACATAAAGAATAAATTAGTGTTAAAAATGTGTTATGGACTTTCAAAAATAAATTCATGATATTATTCTGCTAAGCTAACAGTCATTTAATAAAATTGATTACATATTATTAAAATATTGAAGAAAATATTCGTTAAAAATGAAATACCATAAATCGACTTTAAATTATTTTTTATTTAAATTTATTATATTTAAATAATTACTAATTCATATAAAATTATTCATAAATAATATATTTAGAATATTTTAAAAAAAAGTCTTTTATAGTTTTATCTTAATAAAATGTATTTAATGTAATGATTACTGTGAGAAATGTAATTATTTAATCTGTTTAATAAAATGAGAACACTTTTTTGTTTTTGATATATTTTTTATAAATACTTGATATTATAAAAATATAATACTTTTACTTTTGAAGACGAAATAAAAAATACCTAAATGATCAAAATTGTATTGAATTATAATTAGTTGTATATAATTCATATAGTAGGTAAATCTAGAAAATGTTTACAAAATGCAAAATTTACATTTTAAATGATATAAAAATAAAGTGATTACATAATTTGTTTTAAACTAATTTTTTTATGTTACTAAAAAAGTGAAACACTTATGTAAACAAAATATTATAAATTTGGTTTAATGAAGTTTTATATTATAAATAGGAAAATAGTTATGGAAAGTATATCAATTATATAAAAATAGTGGTTATCTGGTGAGAATTAGAAATTAAGATTTTTATCTTTAATGATACTTTAAAGAATAAAAATATTGTTTAAAAAATAATATCATGCATCATATTTTAGGTATAAAAAAGACAAAAAAGTTCTCCTGGTTAATATAAACAAATGCATGGACTTAACACCTAAAGAGAAAAATTCTGGCACTAGTGATCCTTACGTAAAATTACAATTGTTGCCTGATAAGGAACATAAAGTTAAGACACGAGTATTGAGGAAAACAAGGAATCCGGTATATGACGAAGACTTTACATTCTTTGGAATTCAAACGAATAAACTTCAAGTGATAATATTATAATGATATTTATATTATTTGCTAATAAATTATACTAAAAGACAAATTAATTTCAGTCTATGACATTGCATTTTGCCATATTGAGTTTTGATCGTTACTCTAGAGACAGCCTGATCGGTGAAGTTTTCTATACCTTGAATGAAAAAGATGTATTGGAATCAATCGAAAAAGAACAAATTTCTATTCAAAAGGATATCGTACTTCGTAGTGTTAAAGTAAGTGTTATGATAAGATTTTTATTTACTATTATTTCTTTTTATTACTATTACATCAAGGAATATCATATTTGAATTTCATAACGTCAACTATTAAACATAATAAAAAATCAAGTTAATTCAGAAAAATAACAATTAAGTATACGATTTAAAAAAATAAATATAATATCTATTAATAATTTATTTATATTTTTGGTCGGCTTTAAGTTTATTAAATTATTATATTATTCTGACAGTCAATATTGTATACTGTGCACATGATTATGATAGTATAATGTATATAAAGTTATTATGAAAACTTTTAGTTTTATACTTTTTAATCAAAATATACTGTATAGGTTGTACACGTGATTGATAAATATATTTTGTTATTAATTAGTTTGTTCATATTACATTATTGCAAGCAATTTAAATTTTAAAACATTTTTACGTTTACCAATAAATTAGTGAAGATTTTAAATTAATTTTTTTTTCAACTGAAAATTGATATAATTTAATGTAGTTTATTGATTTTAGCAATCACAAATTGCCAATCGTGGAGAATTGTTGGTATCTTTGTGTTGGCAACCAGCAACTAGAAGAGTAACAGTAGTTGTATTGAAGGCTAGAAATTTGCCTAAGATGGACTTGACTGGATTGGCTGGTATATTTTTAAAATTTAAATAAATTATAACTGATTTTATTAGATTCTTCTATTTTATAAAATATAATAATGGCCATAGTAGTAATATGAGCTGAAAAACATTTTATTTGTTTGTTATATAACATTAATTCATAGCTCAGTATAAAATTAAATATCAATATAATGCATTTATTTTAATTGTTTTAAAAAACTTTTTAATAATTTTGAAATTAAACTATAATATTTTAGGACGCCATATAAAAACAGGGTTTTGTGATTACTTACATATTCTATTTTTAGATCCATTTGTGAAGATAAATTTCTTAGTTGACGGAACACGCATATCAAAGAAACGGACTCACATGAAGAAACGTACATTGAACCCGGTTTATAACGAATCATTTGTGTTTGATTTGCCTTCGACTGTTGTTGATTTACATAATGTGTGTATTGAGTTTTGTGTTTTCGATCACGATAGAGTCACTAAAAACGAAGTAAGTTATAAAAAAAAAATTTAGAATGTCCCAATTGAGTAAATAATATTTTTATATTTTTTAACTTTCAATGCTGTACTTAATAAAAGTTTCATAAAGTTTATATTAAAATAACCTAAAGTATAATAGTAAAATTATTAAGTTTGTTTATAAATTAATTAATATTTATGTTTTTAGATAATCGGGCGAGTTTTAATGGGGCATCCGGACAATCCATCTGTTACCGCCGAACGTCACTGGAAAGAAGTAATGAATGCGCCACGGAGACAAATAGCTGATTGGCACAAATTAGTTGTCTGAACCATCAAGTAACCAAGAAAGAGGATACCGCAACAAGAATAATGTTATCTATACTCTTCCTATAACTTTTGATTTATATTTTGTACCAAAGTTTACCTCTATATATAAACGATCTATTATATTCACTTTCAAAATATACTCTGTACATTGTCCAAACGTATAATTGACAATATTACCCATTATATATTTTCATATCCATTTTAGACGTTATGCTAATCTAAACATGCATAGGACATTTTATTGGTAAACATGAATCGATATAAAATGTGAAGTATATTGTTTAGTTTTATTTTATCATTGCTAACCTTTGTACCAAAATCCTTGACAAATACAAACAGGGTGTGTTAAAAGAAAAAAAACGAACAAATAAGATGAGATGAATCAGAATTAGGTTGTTGAAAATAGCGAGATAAATGTGGAGTCGACATATGTCTAACTTAATTTTATTATTTTTTTTTATCAACCAATTTAATATTGCATGTTTTAAAATCTATCTTGTTTAATATTTGTTTTTAATATAAAACAGCTTGTGCTTTAGTTTATAACATTTAGTGTTATTGTTAAGAATATTGGTATAATGTAACGTAGGTAAGCTAAATTGTCATGCAAACAATATAATTATAACGTGCTATTACACTCTAAAAAAAAAAAAAAAAAACACAAATAATATACCTAGATACATAAATTATTTACCGACCGTATTTTTTCGTTTATAAAATGTTTAGATGAATGATTATTTTTTATTGCGCGCGTGCAGACACAAACACACCATAAAATAATTGTTTATGTTTAAGTATATAGGTATTATATTATACTATACACTCTAAAATACATTTATGCATAATAAAAAAAATATTGAAATATTAATTATTATTATTACGAAAACATAATTATATCTATATCTATATCAATATCAATATATATATATATATATATATTTATGGATATATTATATAGCTGTTTTTTTGTTAATATACTTTATTTTGTAGTTATTTCTAATATTTACAAAATAATTTTTATAATTTTTTTAATTAATAGCAAATATATTAAATTTATAGCTTAAAATAATTAAAGATAACAATGTGTTAAAGGAAATAGTATTTATATTTTATTTGTGTTATAATTATAGGTATATATGATATATATATATAAGTTGGATAAATATAAAAATAATTATTTAAAAATAGATTTTTTTTTAGACAATAAAGTATTACCTATAAAAATGTATTTGTGTTTCTTCTCGTTTGAGTTAAATGTATCCATATAGAATATAGATATTATATTATTTTTATAACAATATCCTATTAAATAAAATATTATAAGATGCAAATTAAAAGAATAAAAGTTTCACTTTTTTTTTTTTAAATTTATTTATTTTTTTTGTAAATATTACATATTATTATAAAAAGTTTGATAGTAGTATTATTGTAACAAATATAGTATACAGTGTTATAGACGACTTAGTAGTAATTTTTGTTTGCAGTAAATTAACGATTTTTTTGTTAATTATAATCGTGTAATTTATTATATAATAATATTAGTGTTAATAATAGTGGTGATCATACTAAATTTTGGAATTTCATTAATATGCTTTAGCATTACACAATATATTATATTTTAATTAAATATTTTGTGTTCATCGACCAAAATGATATAATATCTATTTAGTCTCGACGAAGGTGCAAATTATGTAGGTTCAATTATAGCGATGTAACGTTTAATAATTGATGTTGACGTTTTTAAAATACATTTTTGTTTTATTGACATGGTTTCTGTTCACAAATCAGTAAATTGCGAGATTGGGTAGTTCAAAATGTCTAAAACTTTTTGTGTAAATTTCGTAGTACTCCAACAATTGATTAAAATTAATAATATTATGATACAATATAATATAATAGTTGAAAGTACTGCCAATAATTCTATACCTAAGCTCAAATTATATTTCAGCTAAAAGTAATCTAATGGTTGTAAGTTTTATATTATCACAGTTTGAATTATTGTAATCACTGACTAGATAACTTCCATATACCTCATCTAACTTGACCTTGACATGTGATCCGACAAAAACCGCGTACAATGTACAGATATTATATTTATTACTAAAATATTATACTAAAAGCAAAATCTATACAACTGGATAACTCTATAAGTACCGTTTTAAAATTATCAAATAGAAATTATTTCGATTCGGCCGTAAAGCTGACTTTATACAGAATCAACGATTTTTTTTTACTTTTACAGTTCTACCGATTATATTGGGGAACAATTCATAATTGATTCGATGAAAAAATTGTGTAATGAACAATATGTCAATATGAAATACTGGAAATATCAATATGAAAATTAATAATTGCTTTGTTTGAGCTAGACCAAGATTTTTTTTAGAATACTATGTATAAATCTGGTATTTTGGTATTCATAAATCTTGGTAAATCTTTAAGGTAAATATAATATTATTTTAGTCGTTTTAGATAAAATCGATGCACATAAAATGCAGATTACAGGTTAATCTATAAAATAAGTGTTACGGTGGTCGCATGGTGTTATTGCGGATATTAATAACATAAATTATTTCTTAAATTTGTATTAGTTTCAGAAGATTTTCGGTATTCCAGTCAATAAAATGTTGTATAGTGATAAGTCGATAAATACATTTATGTAATAAAAGAATTGTCTAATGATGAGTAGAATTGTGAAATACCTAAATAAAAAATATTTATAACTAAGCATAGCTCGTTTAATTACAAATTATTTTTAAAAAACTTATCATTTGTATAAATTAATTTATAAAGTTACAAAAGAAAAAATGTGTTAACTTAAAGTTTGAGTTCTAGTGATAAAATTTTTTGCATATATGCGACAAAACATTTTAAATTTGAGATTTAAATAGTACATTCTAACACCTACAGTTTTTATAATTTAAGAAAAATAGACATTTTATGTTAGGTCTTTAAACGGTTAAAAAAATATTAATGTATAAACTGTTCATAAAAATGAATTCACAATATGTTTATCTGCAGTATTGAAATTCCTCAATGTTAATCTAGATCATTTTCATATTACATCTTGTAGAATGATTTTTGATTTACATAAATGATAGGTACTCAATTTTAAATGTCACTAAAATCAAAAATCTAGAACAAAATTTTGAAAAATTTCTCACTTTAGTTTCACCTAAAGGCTGAACGTCAAACACTTAAATCACGAATTCATCTTTTTGGACTTTTTCAAAATCTTTTTGAAAATAAAGTGTACATTAAACTCCGATTTTATAAGGACCTATTTGGTACTGCATCATGTAAGTTTGGATTTTTGCAAAGCAATTACATTATAAAATTATTTAACTATTTTAGAATTTCATTCAATATTTTTATGTTTATACCAGAATTCTCTTAGTTTATTACTAATGAATATAAATTAAATTAATAGTTTAGCCTTTTGAAAAATTATAAGTAACTTATCTAACTACTCGGAAAGTATTCGGTGTAAGGATTTATTCTATTTTTAAAATTTCATTTTATAGAAATGCAATCAAAAATTTCATATTTGATTATTCTACTTTTTATATATTATATACTAATTGTAAATTAAATTTTTTATTTTTAATTAAAAATATATAGGGTGTATTGTATTGCGAAGATTTGACTTATCCGAAATATGAATTAAATGTGAAATTATCATATATTAATGATGCATTAATATATTTTAAGTACTTCACTATTTTTAAATAATATCACAAGATATATAAATTGAAATTATAATCGAAATTTTAGTTAAAATTCAATCAATCTATAATCTATATCTTATATCAATATGATAGTTAGAAATTTACGAAACGAGGGGAAAAATACTAACTTAAAATTAGATAAATGTTTGTGTGATAATGTTAATTTTTTTAAAAATATTTAAAATATATTATTTATTCAATGAAATATCTGATTAATTTATTTTAGAAATTATTATTAAAAAAATTATTGATTTTATATGGAATTAAATAAAAAAAATCAATGATTATTTGTACCAATAAATTAATTCCTGTGTTTCACAAATATACTCGATTATTAAATAATTTATGTTTTTAAATTAAATTTTTTTTTTTATGCTTGTGATATTTTTTAAAATTTAAAACAGTTAACATACAGTAATAGTAATGTTATTTTATTTTTAGGTTATACCAAATACTTATTTAATTATGATTAAGGTAATTAAGCGTCTACATTGTACATACATTTTGAATTACCTGTTTGGCTGTTTAAAGAAAAGTTTTTTTAACAAAGATACAGCATTTTGTTCAATTTTTTTTTTGTAAATGAAAATGATTATGTAAAGGGAAAAGTTATAAATTTATATTTTTGTAATTTAAGTAAGTCATTATATAGTCTAAAATTGTTTGATATGTTTTGATAATAATCAGTTACCTATTGGATTATACCTTCATCTAAAAAATGAATACTATTGCTAGCAGGAGGGAGAGGGAGCATTGCTATGCTACTATATACATTTTTGTATCGTTTCTATTTTTTATTAACGTATATTATACATTAAATAGTAATTATTTTTTAATCTAATTGATTTTTTTTTTAATACTTACATTAGTAACTTCAATACTATGATTTTCATTTATAAAAATTAATGTGTATTAGTAAAATATGGCTACATAATTAAATAAACATAAAAAGAGTCGTACAACATGTAAATTATATATTACTCGATATTATAAAGAAAAATAGTATATTTATTTTGATATTTTTCGAAATTTCTAAAAAATGATAATATATAAAATTTTACATGAGTAAGTTTAGCGAATAATTTTTTGTGTAAGTGATAGAGACTAATATAACGGACCAATTAGTGAAACAAAATGTATTATTCATGGTATATCAATCTAATATAAAAGAAGCAAATGTGTTTCATGAAACTTAATGTGAATTAAGCACGCACTTGTAGACTCCTTACAACAATTGGGAAAAATTGAATAAAAATACGAGACACAAGTGTGCAAATGATAATAGTAATAATAATAAACTACTAATAAAATACCTATAAATAAGCCTGCTAATAATGTAAACGCAGTTGTAGTTTAATAACCAAGGATTATTGTATGCAATGTTAAAATAAGAATAATTCACATAATTTTGCATGAAATTACTGCTATCTGCAAACCAAGAGCTCAAAAGGTTAGTTATGCGTACATTTTTCTTAATATTATACAAACTAACAATTACTAATGTTGTTACATTTTATTGTAGAATATTACATCTTAAAACGAAAGCAGTTTCACGGAATTTAATGTTATTCGTAAAACATTATTAAATATCAATTTAAATGCAAAACGTATTTTAATTTAACATACTTAGAATGTACATAATTTTTTTAATAAATAATAACTGCTTCATGATGTAAAAACAATTTTAAATACTTTTAGATATAATTCTAATGGAAATATATTATGTGTATAAAAAATAATAATTGTAATTTTATAATTAGAATAATATAATATTATTATGCGATTAAATATACAAGTAAACTACCACAGAAATTTTCAATCTTTCAGCAATAAAATAAAATATTTAAGTTTATGTTACATCAGTTAGTAAACTACTAATTATGTTTCATACATAGATATCACTATCACAAAGTTTTAGATTTAAAAGTTTTGAGTTAAAATGAAGTTTGAGATTTCTCTTTGATTTTAAGTCGATGGCATCTATATATTTTATCTAATATATTATTTTAATCGTTATTTCTTTAAATAATTAAAATATCATTAATTTACTAAATATTGGTACTCAATTTAATTGTCTGTGGCTCGAAAGCGCTATTTCAATTTTTTTCTTTGGTTACCTTAAACAATTCTCTAAATCTTACACGATTTTTATTTACATCACATTTTATTGACACATTTTCATTATTAGGCAAGTCCCGTGAAGGGAAAATGGTCACTTAGTTCGATTTATTGTTTAAATTGCATAACGCGGACACTTTGTACGGTCGGGTAAAAAGGTATATTTTAGAATGCGTACACTTTGTAGGTACTATTCTATGTACATTAAGTATAAATTGTAAAACTCTAAGTCAGAGCGCTGTAGTTTGATTATTCCTCTGATTCACGCACAATATATTTATGTGGAAGTTGGCTTTCTGATTTCGTCCAGTTGAATCGAAAATGTGTCACTATTTAATAAATAATAACAAGTTATTTTTTTTTTTACCAGAAATGATTTTTTGCTTATTATATTATTATTTACAAATTCTATAAACTTATCTGCATTTATTTTACATTGATTTATTAAATTTGGCACGGTTTTTGAATAAATTAGATATGATTTAGATATTAGAGGTGATAACATAGTAAGGATATTCCTACATACCATAGGAAATTTGCGTTCAGCATAACTCATTTGTCGTTGTTAGTTTTTTTAACACATGATATTAATTAAATATGTCTAATTATTACATAAAAAACGATTATGTGATAATATAAACCATGTTATATGTTATACAAATTTCGGGGGAGTTAAAAGAGTTAGGCATTCTCCCATATTGAGTATGGACTCTATAAGGTATTTATATAGAAGATGTACATCTAAATTGTTATGGCTATTAAAGTTAAGATTTTAAAATTAATTTGTTGCTTGCAGTTATTTGTGAACATGATACTGTCAAGTACGCTACTTTTCTTGGTATTGAATGCGTGTATTTTATCGGCGCGGGCCTCAATTGGCTCAGACGTCAAATACTTCACCAACGAATGGTTGGCGCACGTACCTTTGGGTGAAATGGTAGCTAGAAAAGTGGCGCAAGATGTCGACATGAGATACGACGGACTGGTAACGTAGATTTAAACTGACCATCTACAAGTATATTAAATATACACTGCGGAAATGGCGTAATGACTATTTTATAGTTTTATGGATGTTTAAAATAAAATACAATTGTTTTAGTTACAATTACCTATTTGTAATAAAGTAACGAATCGAGCTTAGTAGAAATTACAGGTATCAAAAATCACGAGTTTAATATAATGAAATTCAAAATGTAGTTAAAGCTCATTTATACCTATGTATTAAAACATAATCATTAAAGAAATTAAAAAAAAAAATTAATTATTTGATTATTTATTACAAATTTAATTTATTTTAAGAAAAATAGTTTCCATTTTTAAATCTCATAAAATAATAATATTCATCAAATCTAGACATGAAGAATTTTTTTTTTGTGTGGGTGGGAGCTATGGTACTATAAGACTCTTGAAACTCCGTTTACGAGTGTCATGTTTCTGTAACTAGTGTTGGCCCAGAAAATGAAGACTCTTCTTTGAAAAGATGATACATTCTTACGTATCTATAACACTGTAGAACGCACGCCTACAGTGGAAAGTAATAAATCATAAGTTAGGTATGGTCGAATCGTGTAACTCTTAGATCTTTAGAATACGAATACTGCACTCGAATAAACTGAATACATAAATTTATTTAGACTTATAAAAGTGTGTATTGTTTATGACAACAGATATCTATCGTGAACACGGAAAAGGCGTAATTTTTTTTTCAAAAAGTCTAGATCCAAACCAGTATTTGTTTTCAATAGTACTGGCAGTATTTTGAATCATGCTGTTTTTAAAATTATAATTATATTTTGGAAAAATTTAATTCCACAGAATTACTTATTTATTGTGATTGTATGTGATGATTTTATACAATTTTATTAAATTAAATTAAATCTTCTACTATTTTCTTGTATTATTAATTATCTATAGTTATTATTACTACATTCAAAATAGTGTTCAATATATTTTAATAATTATATTTATTTTTTGCATATGTTTTACTATTTTAGTAAAATAAATGAAATAACATGAAAATGCGAAATTATATTAAGTGTTAGTTAATGTATGTCACATCATTTTATTTTTCATTTATAAACCACTTATATAGGACCTAGAAAGTTTACATACTCGTAGTTATGTGGTTTTCCATACTTGTTAGCTGTTTGTTTTAATGTTTAACCTGATAAATAGTTATTATTAATGGCTTTCCAAAAAATAATAAATAGTTTTCCAAAATGCCATGGTTTTGAAACTAAATTTTAAATACTCTATAATAATTGGCAGTTATTTAGTTATAATACTTAATTAATTCTGAAATAGTATGAGAATTTTGCAGGGTTGTGTAATTTTGTTTTAAAACTTTAGAAAATTGGTATATTTTTATAAATTGTTCACTTGGTAGGTATTATTAAAAAGGTCTATAAATTCAATATTTTTATTTTGATAATTTTGTCATTTTATTTTTGTTTTAAATACATAGGTTATATATTTTTTCCTTATTAAATCGACCACAATTGAAAATTTATTTAACCATTACTACTTGGATTGTTGTAAATAGGTTATACTTTTATAGGTTATAAGTATATTATACGTATTAATTTTTATACTTTTTTTTATTATATTAGATATTTTAATTTAATGATACTTTGTCAACAATAATATGTATAAAGTAGTAATTGAGGTGTATTAAGGAAGTATTTATAATATTAATTGATTGAAAAAAAATTTTTTTCTTAAAATATATTTTTAAAAAGGCTGGAAGATAACAAACAATATTTTTCAATAAATAAATTCACTTGACTACTCATTTTTCAGAGAGACCGGTCAGTTATCTTTTTCGCTCGTTTCACAATTATAATTGTGAATAGTGAGAGATAAAGTAATAGACTATATCAAACATATAGAAGATTTCTATTGCTGTTATTAATTTTATTAGTGGTAAAATATCTTTTAAGTGTACGTACATGTTACTGCAGTTATCATTTCATTTAGAGGGTATTTTTAAATGTGTGTAAGAATTTCCTTATTCGTTTTGTTTTGTTTAGATACACGTAATATATATATATAATCCTAAAAAAATACGGACATTATTACAAAAATATTAACTCTTATCAATTATGATATAAACGATTTAATAAATAATATTAACTAAATTAATTATTACTCGAAATTGACGCAACAAATAATAAGTATGCTAAAAAAAAAATATATAGCTTCATATATTTTGAAAGATTAGAATACTATAAAAGACAGAAACACGATGAAGGAAAGGACTCGACTACTTATTAGATTTTAATTTTTAAATGTTGTTTTAATGTCCTTAAAGCATAACAACAAGATTTTCTTTTTTGGTACTTATTTGCACTACATGCGGTCACCATAATAAAATAAAATTAACATGGAGATTATTGTATATTTTCATTTTAATAATTAACATTTGTATTCATAAGGTAGTTGGGTTTATATTTTTATTTATTAATAAATGACAAGCAAAACTTATAATATATTATAATGAGTGATAGATGTTAATATATTTTTTGAAAAATATTAGGTTAGTTTTGTTTTTTATGAATACTCGTATTAAAGAAAATCTAAGGTAAAATTGATGTTAGTATTTTTTTAGGTTTTGGTACTTTTGAGAAATATTTTAAACTAATGTGGGATACTATGAAATTATTATATTTAAGTATGTTTTATAAATCATATATTTAGGGTTTAAATAAAGAATGGAAACTTTATGTTTAGTTACAGAATTAAACTAAAAAATATTCATACCTAATAGATAAATAATTAATACTGTCGATTTAATGTCTAATTCGGAATTTTCAGTGAAGATAATAGAAATAGTTTGATAATTATTAAAAATATAAAGTATAAAGTTCGTTTTTTTTATTTTTTTTAAAATTATAGTTATTTTGTTTTGTTTTATTTCAAGTAAAAAATATTTTTTGAAATATACATAGAATTAGAAAAATAATTATTTACGGTATATTTTGTACTGTTATATATTAGCCGTGCTATCCAAAGTATAATAAAAATCATCCGAGTTTAGTGTTTAATAATTCATGAATTAATAATAAATCATATCATATAATAATCAGTGAAAGTAAGAAGTATATTAAAAAAATGATGAAGACACTTAAAATACGTTTCTATTAGTAGAAAATTTTATTTATTTTACTTATGTGTCAGTAGTTAACACTTTATTTTATCTAATTATCTTATTTTATATTTAATTTCAGATGAAATAAATTAAATGTATTCAATACAAATAATAATAATAATAATAATAATAATAATAACAATGAGAATTTTCAAATCAATTAGTCACAGAAGTTTCTCACTAATAGTATTTCACATTCTACTAAGTTTGTAGTATCACAGTTTAAATACTGGGAATTTTTGCTTTGATCCCCTTTCTTCAAAGAACTAACTAGATCTAAATCACTTCCAGAAACCATTCCCAAAGAATTTTTAGTTTTTACTGTCCCATAAGTGATGATAGATATACATAAGAAAAAAAAATATAGACACATCACATTAATGTAAAATTAATCCATTTATTATTCCTTTCAAAATCTAAATCTATCTGCATTGTTTCTATTGTTTCTATAAAAACTGTAGTAACTCAAATCATTTACATCTAAAATATTGATGTATTATTTTTATTATAATATATAAATAATTTATATGATTATTAATTATTATGTACTTTGAACGCACGGCAAAGATTTTTTTCCAAGAACTAGCTTAATTTAAATTTAAAGGGGGCTAAGACATTTTTTGGACGGAAATCCAAAGTCTTTCTCCCCTTCTTGCCATATTTAAGACTACAAGCAAGATACGTATGTAAAAATTATGATTAAGTAACTATATTTTTAAATTAGAAGCCATAATGCTATACTGATGACGATATAATAATATTAATAATTAAAACAATCAATTGATTGTTTCGTGATGATATTATTAAAATATTCATGAATTCAAAAGTCAACGTGTTATAATACAATAACAGTTGAGAACTCGAAGTTAGAGGGGAATGAACAAATTAGTTAGTTTACGGTTGAATTCATAATGCTTTTATTTTAAATCTCTCTTCCAAACAAAAAAAAATGTTGATAATTTTTTTCTAGAGCTTATTAAACGATAAACGTTTCAATTTGAATTTTCTTTAATCATATTTCTTGTTTTCATAAAAAAATTTAAAATTTGTTGTATCATTCTATTTTTTGGGTTTTTATTAAAAACTAAAACAATTTTTTTTTCAAACAAAATATGAAAGAACATAGTTTTCTTTTCTAAACCTGGGACGGACTATTAAAATATGGATAAAAATTTGTTGTATCTCTAACACATTATCGGCATGTGAATATATACGATCGCCCAAACTAGGCCTGTGCATAGAGGTCGTATAATAATATTAGTATTGATAATAATAATAATAGAAGATGACTGTGGTGTATTATATAATGGTACAAAACACGCACATCACGGTCGATGAGCGCCGTCACTGCCGCCACATCCACCACCACCATCACTTCCACTGTGTACACTTCTACCCTCACCACCATCACTTCCACTGTGTACACTTCTACCCTCACCACCATTATAACCATCACATCCACCGTGTACGCCTCTACCCGTACCTCACCGGTGCTGCTGCTGCTTTTGTTGTGGGGCGCATGCGTCTATCAAGTATGGCCTTGTGACCTCGACCCCAGCCGAGGACACGCGTACCAGGACTACATGAATAAACGGTACTCCCGTTGACACTAGGGTGGGCGCTAGCTCGGCAACCCTCGGGCTGCCTTTCCTGTCAGGACGCCACAGCTTTTCACACCGGGAGCGCATGTCACCGCAACGTTGTTTTTCCAAATGTTATTTTTCGACGTCGAGCTTTTCTAAAGACATGCGCTGGGTTGATTCAGCCCTGGTGCAGGGATTCCGAAGGAAAACCCCAAAAGCCCCGAATTTTAGCGGTTACCAAATTATAACCAGGTCTCGTTTTATCATCCATTATTCCATTCTATATCAAAAAGCATTATAAATCATATTATATTACGTATTTACAATATCGTGTTTAAAATTAATAAATAATTTCATTTTTGTACACTCGAAATATACTTTTTTATATTATGCTAAGTAATTTTTTTTTCCACGTATCTATGCAGGTTTGCAAAACCTAATATGTGAATATTTTTTTCCACATTATATAGAATGAATGAATTATATGTGCTTATATTTTATATTATAGATCGATGATTTTTAAATTTTACATTTCGATAAGGAGGTAAACAATTGATTGACTGTACAACGAAGATCTTAATAATTTTTTTTTACGACCAATCAATGCACATTTATAAAAATTGTATTTTCAATTGTGATAAATCACATATGATACTACCGTATAACGTCGGAAAGCTTTGAACAATGGAATATTTTTTGCACAATTACACGTATCGTCGCTATCAAATTAAAATAATAGTAATAATACGAAACACTGATTCGTTATTATTATTCTGTTGAGGCGTTTATTAAGAAAATTACAACGACACGTATAATATATTATGATAACAACATAAATCCGTAGGAAATCTAATCCTTGTATCAGTAGTAGAATATAAATGTAATAATGTAATATGTCGTGTATCGTGTCCATTATTAAAATCATCATCATAGTAAAATTATGTAGCCTACTATTCCACCGCCAACATAATGTAATCATATTTTGTTCGTCAACGTGTGTTTAATTTTCACACTGGCGGATTTTCTCTATTGATATTATACTATATTATAAGTTATAACTCTTCTATGAGAGACATATAGCGTTTTAATTTCTAACCGAATAATTTTTATTAACGAAACGGCAGACTAAATGTATAACATAAGTACTACTTAATTTTCTTCCTCAAATACAATTCTAGATCTATGACAACGTGCTTCTTAAAAATGTAATATAGGTAAAATTGTAATCCAAAAGTTTTTAAGATAGTCAATTTATATAAATAATAGAATGTTTTAAGTCAAACTATTAATTTTCATTTAGTATACAAATAGTTATATAAGTTTAAAAGTGTTTGCAGGATGTGGGTAGAAGAGTATTTCGTATAGTATACGGTAGGTATGTTTGAAGAAAAATACGACTGGATCTTTATATTATATTCTATACAGTACGGCTAATACGTATATGCGAGGTAATAAAACAATATTAGTTTCTTATGCGCAAGGATACGGGGTTAATCCCTTATTATTATATATGAGTAAAAATGATAAGGAAAAGGCGAATTTATTTATTCTACCGCGTTGTTGAAAAATAAATCTTCTGACTAAGCTCCGTTGAGCATAAGATAAGTCAACAAAACATAAAAAATATATTTGTTTAATGCTTATGACGTATATCAATTTTTATTTTTTAGACTTCTGTTCATTGTATGTAGTTAACGATTTTTAATTAAAATATATTTTTAAAGTGTTTTAACTATTTTAACACATTTTGATTATTTCCGAACAAATTTAATCATGTGGGTTTTTGCAGTATACAAAAATCTTAATATTCGTAATTCACTAAGAAAAAGGGTAATTTATTAGTATACTAAAAGGAAATTTATTTTTAAAATGAATAAATTATCATAAATTTATACACTAGGTATTTTTTTAATTAAACAATTAGATACTTGTTAATGCTAATTATAATAATCATCATTATTTTGATGATTACCTATATGAATTTTTTATGAAATATTTATTTTCAGTTTTAATAATTAGGCACTATTTATTTTAGTGATGATATTTTAATTTAAACAATAATTAGACATTTAAGGCATTTTTATTTTAAAACAATTTTGTTTTAATTTCTTATTATTTTTCTTAATAAGCCGTGTGTGTTAAATAATATTATAACGTGTCGGTAATTGGCACGGGTGGTATTAAAATATCAACACCCAATAAAAAAAATATTATTAATATATTAACCTAGTATATTAATAATTTGAATTTTAATATTTTAAAAACTAGGAGATAAACATTGGTTTTGTTTTTTTCCATTAAGTACTTTTTGGCCTAATTAAGCGTTCTGAATTCCTTGAATGATTATTTTTTCATATTTTTTTGCTAGTAACTTGATCAAGGAGCACATTTTACATTGCTTTAGCTCCTCTTAATTACACTACATACTCTTCTGTATTTTAATCATTTTGTAAGTTAACTTACAAAATATAGATTCTATCGTTTTTATAGATCATTATAATTTTAAAAAATATGTTTATCCTAAATTTACTTGAATATTTTTTATATCCTCATCATTTTATACCTGCTTGCTTTATACTTATACTAACGCATTTATAAAAAAAAATCATTAAAATCCTTTTCTTATTATTATTGAAATATATTAAATTAAAATAATTTGTAATTGGGTACATCCTTAAAATAAATAAATGAGTTAATTATTCTTTGAATAGATAAAATGTTCTTAAAATATATTATATTTGAATACAACAATTATTTAATCAATTATTTAAGTATAATAAGAAATGATGGATAATTTTTTTTTTATTTCAGAATTAAAAAAAAAATTAACACCCTGTAGGTATGTTTAATTTCCAAATAATAGAATTCAATCAATTGCATAAAGATTGTACATTGAGAGGAATTAAATTATTGAAAATTCAATTAGTTCTTTTGAAATACTTGTCACCAAAAGTTTTAAGGTTGCACCAAAAGTTTCACGAACATTTGAATACGTTTAAACACAGGTATTTTAAATATAGTTCAGGGTTTCTTCAAATCATCAGACGACATTGTTACCTTCCTAAATTTTGACATAATGTTGTGTAAAACGGAGTTAAAATAAATAACTTCATATTATTGTCTATTGGTTCTATTTATTGATATGTGATACATAACAATATTAAAACGGCCGGTAATAAAGTTTGTACTGTTCCTTTTCATAATTTTTAATTGAGAAATAAGATAAATAAATATAATTAATTATGTCGATAATGTTAAAAAAATAAAAATAATATTTGTTGATGATTTTAATTTTAATATTATTGTAGGATATTGGTAATGATGGTTTTCATCGTATGACTAAAACCGAACTTCCGCTTAAATCATTCAATAATAATGAGGATATAACGAATAAATTAAATAACCATGAATTCGTAAGTACCTGTTATTTAACTAGAAATTGTTAATTTTTATACAAATAATTTTAGTATATAAAAAATATTTTAAGTAAATACCTATAAAGTTATTTTACTACATGATAATGGATTCACGTTCAGCTTAAAGTTTAAATATTGGATTAAGTGCTGCAATGATATATTTTGAGAAAGAGTTATAAATTTTAATTTAAATAAATATATGTTTTATATTTATTATATATTATGTAGATAGAGGTTTTTGATAATTGAAGTAACGAAAAATAATTAAATTATTCTACTTTAATAAGAGTTGTTGATATTTGATAAAGAATTAATTTACACTTGTATTTGAGATTTATTTATAAATTGTTCAGTAAATAATTTTTGATATGAGATTTTTTATACATTTTATAATAACTTGATCTTATTTACATTATTTTGATGTAATATTTCGTCAAGTAAAATAATACAAAAACAAAATTATTATGTTAATTTAATTAAGTAATTAATCAACGAAAATTTCGCAATATGATATTTACCAATAATTAGCTTTTAATAAGTTATGATTAAAATTGTACAAGTAAATCTTTCTTTCTCTTGGTATTAAGTTTTGATTGAAATAAAATTGTTACGCTTTTATTTTTATTTAAGGAAATTTAAATTTAAATTTTATTATTAGGTTATAGGTACTTTATGAAAATACTTTTTAAAAGTATATTAATTGAAATTCAATAATTAAGATATACTTAAGTAGGTATATTATTTAATTTATATTCGATATATTATAATTTATGATTGTTTTTTTAACATTTATAGAAATAATAAAAAAAAGTAGGTTAATCGGTAATCTTATTTTTTTAATATCTGTCTATGTCTTAGTTATTTTATGTTACTCATAAATAAATCTCTTATATTATAATATCTAGGATATTACATGTAAAAACTTTTTACTTTTCAAATAATTTATGTAATGAATTTTGTCATTTGTAATAATGTTTCTATACAAAATACCCGTTGTTAAAGACATTATTAAAAGTACATCTGACAAAATAATAATAATAATATTAATAATAGATCATGAAGTTATTTCAAATATACATTAACTTTCTGTTAGCAACTGCTTATTGTAACTTTTGAATTGCGATAAATATTTATTTTTGGTTTTGGTGAATAATATTGTATCAAGGTTTAATTATTTTAATTTCATCATTTATAAATATTAATCATGTTATATTCTATTATACTGAGTCTTAAAGTATTTCGCGATGTCGGTTAAGCCAGTTTAAAAATAAAAATTGTTAATAAAACATTTTTTAGTATATTTTGACTATCTTACCATTCGTTATATCGATAGTGTTCTTTATTTTCAATACAAAGGTATCATAATGTTAGTAACAACCTAAGATTGAATATATTTAACTCAATACGAGATGGTGAGTTTTAAACATAGCTTAAGTTTTCGAATATTATTATTATTAACTAAAATTTGGAGCAATGGACCTTTTTAGTTACAGTATCACCACTAAACAAAATTAAAAATATTTACAGTATTTAAAAAACTAAAAAGTATGTTCAAATATAAGTATGTATATATTTGAATATTTGACAACACGACCCATGATTCGAATAAATATTAAAATACATATTATATTATTATTATATGTTTGTTATTAATATTTTATGGTATCAATGTACTAAATATTTTAACTGTTATTTAAAGGTAACAATAGCAAGTCAAGAAGCTGTGAAAGCAAGATCTTACCGCAGTATAGTTCAACCTAGACATGTAGTTCCACGGTTTGCTGTACCAAGAAGTAAAAGCTTAGTTTATGATAGAAAACCGACTTTTAGGGACGTTAAGATAGAAAGTAACTATCAAAATGCGTTTAATGATGAATTCTGGACTGATATGTGGTACTTTGTAAGTATGAATAGTAATTTTAATGTTTAAAAAGAAAAGTTGAATCTTAAAAAATTGCATATTTCTGTAGACCATTACTAGATAAACTGAAAATAACAAGAGAATTATTTGATTAACTAAAACCAATATTACTATACGATATATAATAAATATATAACAAATTATAACTCGTTATCTAAATCGATCTTAACCGCTAATTATGTTATATTATAATATGATCAACTAGGTAGGTGACTAATTTATGCAATGAAATGTATATATCAATGCACAATACTTTAAATGAGTAGTTTATTGCTAAGTGTTTTTAATCTAATCGTTATGCATGACCGACTCAAAAAGCTTTTGACAACAAATATTTTTTTTTCAAAATGTTAATATTATAAGATTATGATTTAAGATAATTACTCAGTTAAACCACATTAAATAATTATTGTGTCTAGTATAATAATTATTTACTTGTTATTTAAAAAATATAAATAATATAGCGTTTAAACACATTTAATTAGTGATAAAAGAATTTAAGGGTATTCTACCGAAAATAATAATTTATTTCTGTCTTACTAACTATATATAGCATATACAATATACTAACTAGTTACCAACTAGTAGACCGTAGTTCGGATTCGGACCTCGAACACTACTTTTATGGACCCTTATCTGGAGTAATTTTTAAATTTTTATAATGTAAAAATTATAAATGTGTCATATTATAAAATATTATGACAAAAAAATTATTTAAGAAATTGAAAATAATCTGTATATCTATCACTTTTTTAACTGATATATTTAAACATATCAACGATTTAAATTTCAAATTATAAAGTAAAGGAAAATTAGTGTGTCATCTACTTTCAGAAATTAAATTTTTTTCAAGAAAAATGGATCTCTTTTGTGATGATGTTGAAAACGAACGTTTGCACGTTCCTAACTTAAAGATCGTTTTTGATGATAATGGAGGTATTGACGTCAGTCAGTTCATTAATTTTATATAGAAGTTTAAATCTTCTTAAATTTTCTGATTTCAACAAATTTTGAACATTTTTTTTTTTACATTTTAATTTTGGATGAAATACGTTTGTTCAAATACATATTTAGAACTAAAAAGTCTAGTTACAAAACTATGTATGATAATTGATTCAAAATGTCTGTTAAGTCGCATTTTCTTAAATGATGAACTTTATAAAATACAATTACAAATCTTAGTTAACAAATAATCATCTAACCGAGTTGCACCAACTTCACACCAAACATTAAAGAGCTTGTAAGAACTAAAAAATGTAATTTTTTAAATTAAAAAACGACAAATTTTCTTGAATAATTGTCTATTTTTTCAATTATCATTATAATTAATAAATCAATATAATACAAATTAAAAAAAAAAATGTGTTTGTTGACGTGTTTAAAAGTTATTAAAGACGTGTTTAGGATCGCAAAAAGTTTGATAAGTTTCAAAACGGACCTCCATAAAAAATAGTTGGTTACTCCTATACTTTAGTATTATACTGCTGATTATCGTTTTTTTATTTTGGTTAGCATTGTTTGATTGCTTATTGTTAGATAATATAGTGAACTGGCTAACTATTGATTTTTAATTTATAAAATATTAATATTATAAAATCAATATTAAAACATAAACTCTCAAATTATAGTTATCTAAATAGTAAATATAGATGGAATTGCAGATATAAGTGGTAATCTACTGGAAAGAAATAAAATTACCTAATTATGAAGCTGTGTAGCAGTCGCATTGAAATAAATAATCGTTAATTCTTCTTAATGTTTTTTTAATCAAAAATGTTTCTAAGTTCAAATGATCAAATTCTAACGTAGACTGGCGTGAGGTTAGGTAGCTCTAACTATTGTAAATCACGTCTGAAAAAGTCTTATCTCGAGATCTCCTGTATATAGTTCTCTGTCCACTATTTTTAGTCATATCTCTTCATTCTCTTCTGGTTAAGAGATACCTACGGTGCGTGCGATAATCCTATTATCTTATGATGTCCGGATAATGTTCCTCTTACACCCAATCCATACTATAATTACGCACAACCGCAACTATCTGATTATTATTACTTCATGGTTGCTTGCGCCTGAAAAGTTGCACTATCCTTGTATAATATGTGTTTTATAATGAGTGTATAAATCATTGACGCATATCAATGAGTTTAGGATATACCATGCTGTCTACTCATAATTATATGCAATATTGTTGTACTTTACTCTTCCTCATTATATACTGGAAATTGGAATGCGTTTTCTACATTGTGGTACTTATATGTATTAAATTTATCATAGGATATCAGGGAACGTAGAATTTAATTATTTTAGTTATAAAATAAATAGTATAAATTAGAGATTGTTTAGTTAATTTTTATTGTCGGAAAATCACTTATATTTGATATACCTAACATATATTATCAAAAATTAAATGATAGAAAAGTGTAGGTATACATCGTAAAAATTATAGTATATAAAAGAGAATATACGATTTTATTAAGACTGTGTGTATTGAAAGAAAAATAAGGCAAAACGGTCGTTGGATTTAATAAAAAGATTGTCGAATGGCCAAGATGGTATTCTTATCATTTGTATAAATATTTTATGTATATTTTTATTTATTAAACACGTTTAGTCAGAACTTATATTTGACCCTCATAGGTTTACATGACCTAGAATTCTTCACTTCTGTAACATATTATTTTACCATTTACATTTTATTTTTATACGGCATAACACATTTTCAGCAAGATTTTCGAACTAGCGAAAAGGATCCGGTACTTGATATGAATATAGTTCCAGTGTTTTATGAACTTGGAATTACAGGAAATGGTGTAAATATTACAGTACCAGATGATGGATTAGAATGGACACATCCAGAAATATTACCAAAATTTGTGAGTTACGAACTTTTTAATTTAAAATTTGCATTTTTATTTAAATAAATGTTTTTAAATATCGATTCACAAAAATGATAGTGAAGTTACTATAAATACTATAAATTAACTGCCATGGCTTTAGTAATTTATTATACGCCGATTTATTTTTTCTAATCCTGTTGCATGCTATAAGCAGATAGATATGTATATATGCTGTATGTCCCATACATTATTTTTGGTTTCTTTTATTATACGATTATATCATATCAAAATTTAAAAAAATTGTGTTTTTTTTTTTTTGATGTTGATTGTTCATTGATCAAAAATGCATTTCCTATTACATTATTCTATGTTATAATTTTTATAATTTAGAATTTTTAATTGGGTTGAAGTTACTATATCTGAATAGATTGATGTTTAAGCAGGGTATATTCTTTTGTTGAAATTACACATATTTATGTACCTTTACAATAATATCAAAAACAATTACCTCGATTGTTTGTGTATGATCATATAAAATAAAAACGCATTTAATTAAATCTATTATGCACATATGATCGTTTAACTGTTATCGGACGGTCTATTTATAAATAAATCTTAAGTATATAAATCAATGTTTGACCTAATTAAAATATGTTGTTATTATCTACTATTCAAATGGACATTATGTAAATAACATAAAATTCACATTCATAATATAAGCATATTATACACATAACATAATACATTGTAGTCATTAGGGTATAAAATTTAAGTGTATTTTAAATTATAAATATATATATATAAAAAAAATAGATAACTTAGTATAATATTGTGTTATTAAAAACAAAACAATATATTGTGTTATTTAGCCTCTATGCGTATAAATGTATAATTCATCTTTCAATTATACTACTGATAAAATTATTAGTAATAGAAGTTAATATTAAATACACGTCATGTGTGTTAAAATAGGGTTTCATTTTGAAAGAAAATGTCTCTTGTTTCATGTTTGTAATTTAATTAGTAATGGAGTTATAGTGACTATTAGAAAACATATCAAGTATAACTTAATTTTACATTAATTAATTTGTTTGATTTTTTCTTATTTTTGTATAATTGTATAATTCGTTGTAGTTATTTTAAAACATAATTTATTTTAATAATTTAAGCAATTTTTTTTTTTTTTTTTTTGTACAATATTGTATAAATATGATTACAGTAAAATGTAGTATTTTTTTTTTTTTTTTACATGACGGTTGTTAAGTAAATTAAATATTATTACATTTTATTATGTCATTTTTTAATTTTTGGTATTAATCTATAATTCTTAATATAATATAATGTATAATTAATAATTATATTTAAATGGTTTAAAATATTAATTTCAGAATCCTGACTTAAGTTGGAATTATATTTCTAACGATAACAACATTATGCCCAATAGAGATGGAAATGGAGGATATAGCTCTCATGGAACTAGATGTGCCGGAGAAATAATTATGCAGCCAAATAATAATATATGTGGTATTGGAACAGCTTATGGAGCTAGTCTTGGAGGTAAACTCGATGTTTGATAAATTTATGAAATTTGAAAGTCTGTTTCATTTCAATTTTAATTTATTTTAGGTATTAAGTTCTTAGATGATGGATCGACAGACACTAGAGAAGCTAAAGTATTAAAACATGCTCTTAAGTATGTATGCATTTATAGTAATTCATGGGGTCCTGCGGATACTGGGACATTTATGGAACACTTAACAGATTTTGTCAAAAGGTCGCTTTCAAAAGGCATACATCAAGTAAATTATTTTAAAATAAAGTTTATTTTTTTATTTTTTTTATTTCAGAGTATTTAATTTTATTAATGTATACTTTCTTTGTAATAATAGCGTTATTATTATTATAATCTTACTGATTATTGATTGGTTAATCAGTATATGTATTTCATTAGGTAATATTGTTAACATATAAATTATATTAATAATAAATAATTACGATTTAAATAATTTGTTTTTAACATAAAACTTAATTAACTTACATGGTTTTAGGGCCGGGATGGAAAAGGAGCTATTTATGTGTTTGCTGCTGGTAATGGAAAGACAGAAGGTGACAATTGTGCTTGTGATGGTTATGTAAATTCTATATACACAATAGTTATTGCTAGTTGCGACGATAGTGGTCACGTTGCACATTATTCCGAAAGATGTGCTTCAATCATGGCTACAGCATATAGTGGTTCTGGTCAAGAAAAGAACGTAGTAAGTATAAAATATATATGCATCTCAATATTGGATTTTTGTTAACCATATAAAGAATCTGTTATAGATTTGGATTCAATAGGATTACAGCAATCATGTAACTAATAGTATCATCTATTTTAGCTTTAGTTAAAATATAATTAGAAAAGATTTTAAAAGTTTACGAGTATTATCTCTTCAAAAAACAAATAGATTTAATTCGAAACTTGAGACTTAAATCATTGTAATTGTCATCAACGAATAATTTTTCTTGCCTCAAGTTCACAAATAATGTAATACTTTACAATAAAATATTGCAGTACTTATATTATAAAATATAAAAATATATTATGACAGTTGAAATGCAAAAAAAAAAATATAACAGTTAAATCATTTACAGAATAGTTCATTTAATAATATAATATAGTGGTTATTACTTTACAAATTGTAAAGTTATGCAATGAATTTTACACTGTATTTTATTTAAAAAAATTATTTTATGTGTTTCTCTATACTGTTTGAGGAATAATAAGCGTTATTTAGTCATTAATGTACCTTATAATAAATAAATAACGTATTATTTATTACTTATTTATTACTATTATGTTTTTATATAGTATTATTAATTTATATGTAGGTATATAGTTAAGACAGTTATATTGTCAATTTAATTTTATGTACGAAAACGAATTGCATAATATATAAAATTTATTTTAACGAATATTTATTTAATGAGGTTTTTCCTTATGTAAATAATATAAATAAAATATTTTTTTTTTTAATCTAGTTAACTACCGATGTAAAAGGAAAATGTACTGCTAGTCATACAGGAACGTCTGCAGCTGCACCACTGGTGTCTGGTATTATAGCGTTAGCTCTATCAGCTAAGTAATTGAAAAAATCAAAAACTTAAATTATTTAAAATCTAATTAATTAAAATAAATTTGTAATTATTTTAAGTCCGAACTTGACATGGAGGGATGTACAGCATCTATTAGCTTGGACATCTCAAGTGGCACCATTGAGTGATAACTATGGATGGAATAGAAATAAAGCTGGATTTTTTTATTCCGTTGACTTTGGATTCGGACTAGTGAATGCTTATAAGTTAATCCAAGAAGCTATGAAATGGGAAAATGTGCCTGAAATGTTGTCATGTGGTATACGTATACCTAAGGTTAAGTAGGTATCGCAAGCAATGGAAAATATCCTAATGTGTTTAATTTGTATATTGATTTTAGTTGATATTCAAAATACTGTACTTATATAAAAAAAACTTTATGTAGCTCTTTAAAATTATGTTAATATACTATTTATAAAAATAATTTGTCATTCATGATAATGAGCTTTTTTTAAAAATATTATTTGTCTAGAGGTTTTTCCGTAACAAGAAATCGTGCCGCCCGTATTACTGTGTATTCGAATGGTTGCGAAGGATTGTCTGGAGAAATAAAATACATAGAATATGTACAATTAGTATTAACAATGTCTTATACAAAAAGAGGAGATATTCAAATAGCAATGAAATCGCCTTTAGGTAATAAACTATTTATAAGCGTATGTGAAATAAGTGAGTTTTTTATCAATAATTTAATTTTTATTTTAATATTTTAAATGCCATAAGTTTTTAACACTATGTTTTAATTTACTACATGAAAAATTTAAAAAAATTGTAAATATCTATATTTTTTTTAAATACTTGAAATTATAGGTATCAGGCTTTTACGGTAATATATAAATTCCAGCGTGTTTAGAGTGTCCGATTCTATTGTCGCGTACGACAATTTACATATTATGTGTCTTATATTCGTGTATAATATTTAAAATATTTTTAATGTCACTGCATATAATTAATATACACAACAATACATTAATCGAGCTCAAAAAAAAAAAAATTGCTATACAAAAAATATTCAATATAAATGTTTATTTATTATACAAATGTATAATATATTTGCAGGAACGGAATGTCATGTATTGGAAAATCGACCAAAAGACTTTAATACTCAAGGATTACAAAGATGGACTTTTTCAATACTTGCGTTCTGGGGAGAATCTCCAAAAGGAAATTTTGTCATTGATATTTATGATACAGTATATATACGTTTTTAACTGAATAAAAAAAAAAAACAATACAAATGGTTAATTGATATGCGTTTTTGATATAGACCGGCGAGCCATATAACAAAGGTATAATTACTGAAATGACTTTATCTTTACACGGAACCAAAGATCAACCAAAGATTTATCAAAATGGTCCTCGACCATATGATGCTTTTAAATTAGCGAAACCAGTCTGTATTCCAAATATAATATTTTGATAAGTCATTGCTTTAGTTCACATTGTTTTTACAGAAAGATAAACCTAGATTTGCCAATCTAAGTCGCAGTGGTGTAAAAAGCCTCGAAAAACCTAAGATCCAGAAAAGACCTAATGTTACGAATAGACAAGAATATCAAATCGACAATGAAGCAACAAATCAAGTTCTGAATGATGAAATGCTACAACAAAACATTTTATTGGCTATGGAACAAGAAGCTGCTAATCAAGAAGATACAATTATACAGGATTATATTACGTCAAATATGATGAACACAGCTAACGGTTTATAAAGAAAATTGTATGCGGATTTAACAATTTAGATCTCGGCATGTTTATTTAATTTATGATGAATTTAATTATTTTGCGATAATTATTAAATAAAATTTTTGATTTCATAAATGATTTAATTATCATATTATCTAATATTGTATTGTAGTTAATAAACCCAATATTCATGTTTAACATGTCATTAATTTTTCTATACATATTAATTACTGCATTCGTAATTATGATTATTATATTTTATACATTTTACTAAATTTTATTTTTACCTGCAGGTATTGTATGAAAATTATAATTTTGAACCATTTTTTAAACATTATTAATTCTTAAAAAATCATTGAATCCAAAATATTTCAATAAAACTAATTTTAATTTTAATACATAGAGGAAATTCATATTATATGTCATTTGAGGTAAAGTTTTAAAATATTTTATTATTTTCAATTTAATTTTTATTTATAAATTGATATGAACACTAATTTAAATTAATGTAACTTTGCACGAATGCATGCTTGTATTTAAATAATTAATGTTCTATACATTTAAAATAATGGATTTTTAAACACGAATTGAAGGAAATAACAATTATAAGCTCATAAAATCAAGTTGATAGCTTACAAAAGAATATAACAATATAATATTATAATTTTTGTAGTAGTTTTACACGGGTGGATTAGTAATAAAATATAAATGTAATTATTTTTTTTTTTTTTAATTATCATCATAAAATAATAATTGGTTAACTAATTTTTATTAAGTTTTAGAATGTTATGGTCAAAGTTTTAATTTGTATATTTGTAAATATGAAGGTATTTACAGTAAAAATATCATTTATATACACATATATAATACATATTTATATATATTTCGTCTTTGGTGAATTTAATGAAACATATTGTCATATATTTAGATAATATGTATATTTAGCGAACTATGGAATATTAAGGTTTAAGAAAAGACAATTTAAATGTTCTTAATGAATTGGTGTGCTGTTTATTATATTGAATTCTTAGGCATGGCTTTGTCTAGGTTATTACTACGAACTACTACTAAATTAGTTTCAATCCAAACTTTAGTTGGTTAAGTTGTCATAACACTGATTTAAAAATTAAATCCGTATTTCTTATAGGTACCTCTAACTTTATATGTTGTTTTCCTTATCTTTTCGATCCTCCAATGTTAGAGTGCAAAAACAAAAAAATTCAACTATGAAAAAAAGTAATAAACATTTGACTAACGAGCACGTCATTTGGTCGACACGTGTCTCGTCATTAAACTCAATATGTCTAACGAATTAAATGTACGTAAAATACGAGTAATATGTTATCAAGTAGGTAGAAGTTTAATTAATGTACACCTAAACAAATATATGAGCTGACAGAAATCATTGACGAATATGAACGGCTGCAGTGTCTACTATTATATAAAACAGAACCTTATTGTTTGTTCGCACATTTAAATTTCATACAGTTGTTTTGCTCTATTCTATACAGGTAAACACAATGATAATAATATTAATACGTATTATAATTTTTGAATACTTATGCTTGTATTGTAATATATTTGTCGAAAAAATTTATTAATTAAAAAAAATATCATAGAATAATGAATAATAAGTGTCAATAAGTGCAAGTTACATTTATTTATATTTTTAAAATTATTTTGCTGACATAATATAACATTCATCGTGTATCGACAAATGTTTTTTTTATTTATAAATAATTACTTTTAAAAGCATTTTTAATAAAATAAATTATTAAGATAAAATTAAGACAAAAGAACAAATAAAACGGGAATACATTTTTATTTTGTAAGTAGTGGACAACAATTTCATGTTATGAAAATAATGCTTATATTAAGCAATAATTTTATTTAATTAAATATTTATATATAGCTATGTACGGACATTAAAAGTATAAAGTCTATTTGTATATATAGCTAATAAACTTCAAAAAACATAATAATTTAATAATGCTCACGTTTTGTATTTGATATATTATACATTTATTGCTAAAAATAAATCAAAAGTTTACCGGGAACAGTATAATTTTAATATATAATAGGTATGTATTACATATTAAAAAATACAATTTATTCATGTATAAATAGGTACGCAATAGTATAAATAAAAATATTACGTGAATGGGTTTAAAGAACTGATATAATAGTATATAACTCGAATGCTAAATTAAAATAACTTTAATAAATGTTTGATATTTATAAGTTACGCTTCAAGTAACTCAAAAAATGTAACAAAATTAAAATAAAATAATATACAATAAAATGCCAATATTACTATATTATATATTATATAAAGCGTGATTATGTTAAACACATGTATGTATAGTGCTTAGATGAGTTACATAAAATTTAAAATATGTATATATCTAATAAAAAACATAGCGCATTATTTATTTTTTGTATCTAGACATAGTAATTATGCACTTAACTATTGCTGATATTAATAATGTCATAATAACTGACCAATTCAACTTTTCTGTCGTTATTTAAATTTGAGATGAAAATATATACTTGATCCACGCAATTTATTAAACTATTAACTACATTTGGTTTTATTTTTTTTTTTAGTTTATTATTGAGCTGATTTATAATTAAACATCTGGAAGAAATAAAATAATAATTTATTTTAATACAGAAATTTTATTGAAGAGTATAATTATTAAAAAAAAAATAACTATTCAATGTAAATTATGCATTTTTTACTTATAAGTTGCAAAGTTACATGTTATTTACCGTATTGATATTAATTAATATCAAATATAAAATATAATATGTAATCATTTTTGTTGCATTTTATTAAATTGTTTGTTAAATTTATTTGAATAATTGATATTGAATAACTGTTCAGACGAATGTATTAATAAAATAAGTAATAATGAATTAATAGATTACATAAAAGCTTAAATGTACGTCTTAATAATTAATTATGCTACAAAATCAAAGAGCACAAATTAAATAAGTAGGCAGTAGCTTGTGTAATAAATTATTAACAAATAATACAACTCTGTCAATACCTTTTAATTAAAATAAAATGCAGACGTATTTTAATGAACTAAACAGATGATTTTTATGTAGAAGTTTATTTTAATAAGGAAAAAAAAATGTAAATCATCTTTTTCATCATTTTGTTTTATTTTTAGAGAAATTTTTTTTTGAGAATTATTGTAATATTGATCATGCACATAACTTTTTTTACTATAAATTAATGATACATTAAACTTATCATTAATAATAATATAGTAAACTGTGTGGTAACTTAATGTCTATCTTCATATTATTTATTATACTCGTACATATTATATGAATATATTTATGAAAATAAAGGTTATCTAGGTCGATACCTTGCCAAACCGTTGCTGGTTTTAACATATATTTATTGTATAAAAAAAGATTATATTTACAGTAATTAAATAAATTTGATTATTTTTATCGCGTTCCTTAGAAAAGTTATGAATAAAAAAATTCATTACTATATAATGTTATAGTAAAAGATTGTATGGAACTATTAATATCATTCAGGGCAATGATATGACATGGTAAAAAATCAAGTAATATAGTTGTCACGTAAAAAAATAAATACGTACGTCTGTTTTGAGTACTTAGGTATAACACAGATAATATACGTATAAAATTTCTAAATGTATTTTTTTGTGAAAAATATGGGTCAAGCTCGTTTAAAATATGTATTTACGGTTAGGTTAAACATACGTTAACATACGTTGTGGCTTGTGGGGGGTGTAGTAATGTAGTATTAATAGTACTTTGAGACAAATATTTCTTCAACTGAAGGGATAACGTGACATCGCAGTAGTAAAAATAGTTACATTTTGTGTGTTTTATTTTTAGAAATAATTATTTTTTATGAATCATATTTTTATAGTTAAAATTAATAAATAGTTTTGTATATCAATAAGAGATATAATTAATTATATATATAGACTAGTAGTAATAGTCCTAGTGTATTTTCTTGAAATTTAAGGGGTCCTTATTGATTATTATCAGTCGACAGTTAACATTTTATTTTTTTAGAAAGCGTTAAAAAAGTTTAAACTTTGAAAATAAAATGATTCTTTATATTGCCAGTATTTAGTTATTGTTAGCGAATAATTATTTAATTTCAATATAATTTTAATACGTACGTAATTGTGTAAATTTTTATTGTACTATTGCAAAAGCAACTGTCAAGATTTTTAGACTATTTTCTTTCTAAGTATGATCTTTTTTTAATATTTCACAATTATATACGTATGCAATATACAAAGTTATAATTATAATATATTTCAATACATATTGTTTCAAGGTTATTATAACTTAGAGTTTATATTTGATGCTTTATTCAGAATTCAATACTCTTTAAATATGCACTAATTTTGACAATATTAAATTGTAAACTGAGCAATGAATGCATAAAATTATACAATGGTGTCTTTTTTTTTTAATTTTCAAGGTATTTTTTTCAAGTAGAATCATAAACTTTGAGGGAAGTTTTAAATGGGATTCCGTTTATATTTTAGTGATTCAAAGGCAGACATTTCTCGGTACTTTTTAAAATAATATTAATAAAAAAAAAAAAATAAATAAATATTTGCTGAATTTTTTTTATATCATTATTAAAATAATAGTTGAGTAACCTTTGTAATAAAAAGTTAAACCATTTCTGCTCAGAGATACCATCTCTTTTTTTATTGTTTATAACCTATCTATTATTGAATTCAAATTGTATGTATCTGTTAAAGTATTCTACTCAATGACTGTACTGCAGAGTAGTTATCTACTCGATAAAGTTATTTTTGCTCATATATTTTTATTGTTTATAAATACCGACATCATTATTTTTTATTGACGAATAAAATAGTACCTGAAAAAGCTAAAATAATAAATCACCTTTTCTGACGTTATTTTTGTATAGGAAGAGCACGTATTATTTATAGGGAGTAGAATGCAGATTATTATATAATTTTATGTATTGAATTTCATTTATACTAATCATGTTAAGTAGGTAGGTATATAATTAATATATTGTAAAAACTAAAAAGTATCTATTGATATATTTTTTTAATAATAATTTTAAGGTTGTATTGAATTCAAAATAATTATACATCATTGGTTGTTATAACAATATTTCAGACGGATAAAATCTATTATCATGTTACAAACGCATAATATGTAAAATAATTATATCGTATGAAGACGTTAAGTTGATCGTTAATTTATGTTGTATCAGTATATCAGTAAAATCAATAATGTATCATTGATTATTGATTAGGAACAAGATATGAACAATACCTATACGATATTATTTTATTGAATTTACAATTTATATATTGTTGTATGAGAATAAAAATAAACTGTAAACCGTCAATCTGAGCATAAGATAAGATACATTTTGTTTAAGCTATATATCGGTGCGAGAATAATTGGAAATGTCGAAAGAAACAGAACAATTATTTTTTATTGGTCATTACCATTATGTATTTGTCGTTATAATTATTTTTGTAAAGTTTTCTTACGGAATTTTAAAATAAATATTTAACAACAATACAAATTTTATAAACTAGTTTAACTTGTTCATGATAGTGCAAAATCATCTTATTTATTGGTATAACATAAAGTATACTTTATAAGTTGGTTTTCTGTTATCGAAATGATAGTACTTGAAAAGCATAATAATGTGTTAACACTGTAATTACATATTGAACTGAAATACACTGGAATATAATATATAACAGGGGTGGCCACATGAATAGGTTCGCGGGCCACATAGACAAATACAATAATACTAAGAGCCAAAATGTTTATAGACAAATTTTACATAATTTGATAATTTTTATAATCAATACAAAAAAAATTAAAATTTTTGATTTTATAAATAAGACACGAGCCGCATCTGATAACTACGAGAGCCACACGTGGCTCGCGAGCCGCAAGTTGGCCACCTATGATATATAATACATAAATATATTATTGTTATTATTATGATTATTATATTTCTCCTTAACTTTTCTATATTATTTAGGTACTTCCTTATTTTATTAAAGTTTTATGTTTAGTATAAATAACTTCAAATAAACTCGATAATGTAATAAAACGTAATATAATTTTATTTGTTAAGTTTATGTTTATTATTATTACGATATATTTTAGTATTTTTAAGTTTCATAGTAGGTAGATTATTAATGGATTAATCATGTTTTCTGAATGGCTTATGAGTAATAATTAATTGATTTTTATATTAATTTCTATATCATCACGTAAAATTATATCGTTAGTTATGGATGTAAAAGTACTATTATAGTTGATTAATACTAAAAAGCTATTTTAAGATTCTTAAAATGAAAAAAAAAATGGTAAGATACGTAAGCGTAATAATGTTACATCTATCATTTATAAAATAATTACAGTAATTTAATTAAAAATCAAATATAAAAAGAATTCAAAAAATGTTTTCTAGTTAAACGTTGGTTCGATTTAA